ATTCCCCTTTTACTATGCTGTCTTTCTGGCATTAATGATTTGGTGGCATCAATTTTTTTGATGGATGAGATCTCGGCTTTAGAGTGTTTGCCACCCAACTATAGATGGTTCTTCCCAGCTATGAAACTGCCAGTATAAAACCACTGGATTGATGAGCGTCGATGAGGCAATGGGGAATATCAAATCAACAGTATTCATAAATCGTCATCATGCACTTCACGTCCGGCGCTCAAGCCCTCTTAACTTATTGGTGCACTGCAGGCCGCACACGTGATAAGAGGAGCCTGGATACTCTGCGTGGGAGGAGAGGGGGAAATGCAGTTCGAATTTTCGATGGTTCATCTAAGTTATACATCTGATACGTTAATATTATTCGCGCTTACAAAATGGCTGTCGGGTGACCCTCCAGCTAAGCTCCTTGAAATCCTAATGTCTGAGAGAGTCTCTTACCTGCTCTAACCAAAACATACTATACTAGCTAAACGTTCACTAACTATACTATACATGCAAGACGCGTCAGTACATTAATTTCGCCAGAACCAGTGTTGCAGTCGTTTAATTTCGGAAACTGGCCTCCACTCTAAAGCACAGAAAGCACAGAGGTCATACCTAAGGAACAGGCTGAACTGATCAACTGAGATAAAATGCATACAGATGTATGTATATGTGTTTTTTTTAAAAAAATCAGTGATATATATTATATTAATGAGGTTGAAACAAAAAATAGAATTTAAACCAAACAAATACAGTAGTGTGGAGAACATGGATTTGATTTCAGTGGGACTAATAAAGTGAGAGTTATATAAGAATGAGCAACTCATGCAGAACAAAGGCCTTTATATTATGCAGTAAAAAAGCACTTTAAGACTTCTGAATCAGTAAAATGTTTTCTAGAAGAAAGTAATACACTACATTAGTTCTTTGTTTTATTAGTACTTATCTCTACTGTTTTAATGATTACCCAATATCAGGGAGGGAAACTTTCGCAATGTGTGCCGAGAGAACATGTAATATTTTCAAGCGGAGCTTCACGACTCTGAGAACCAAGTTAAACTGTGAAACAAACAAACACAAACAAATACACCAACTGAAGTCAGTTTGGAACCACAGCAGTGCACTTCACTATAGCTTTAAGACAATTCCAATTTTTGGCTGATTACTACAGTCATTAGTCATGTTTGTTAAAGGCCGGATTTCCTTGCTGTTGACATTAAAAAGGGGGACGGAAATTAGTATATTGGGAACACTTGTACACGGCGTTAAGTGACGAGTCCTTAGGGCGTCATTCGTAGCACTTTTCAAGTAATTATGCGGCCAAAAAGGCTTTCAATCTCGAGAAGTTCTTAACAATACAATGCTACTGTCCAATCTAAATATTAAACAAATCAGTTGACGAAATAAAGTAATGGGAAGAAGTAGTTGAAGAGGGGGCGTATTTGACTGAGGCTAAGTCGAGAGGAACGGTGAAAAACTCGTGAAACTCTTTTTCACCGAGACTCCATTCCAAGTAAGATCGGCCACTGTCGTCAGGGACTCAGTAGCTCGACTCAGAGTTATGGTCAACCGCGCTCGAACTTTGACTAAGCTACCAAACAGCCGAGCAATGCGGATGTTCTCGTGAACGACTGCGACCACTTTTGTCAATCACCGACTAGTCTATTCCCCTGTTTTTAAGTTCCCTAATCAAGCACTCAATCAGCCCTTGAATAAAAGCATTAACTTCTCTATTAAATTTTGAGTAATGCCTACTATAAGCGCAGAGGTTAGTTAGCTTCTAATGTGTTAGTAATAAATAGGAAACTATGTATTCAATAATACTTCACATGAATGTATTGATAATAACTGTCACCATGAACCACAAGCTTTTTGCTCTACCGCCCTCGATAAGTGTATCTCATGTACGGTGGCTTACGAGAGCCAATCGTAAAACGCGACCAGCTCGTTTATATCGTAGACGATTTAAGCATATAGATTTCTGAGGTGGTCGATAAAGGGAGCTTTGAGCTTTGATTTTTCACGGCACCTCTGTGTCCAATTTGCTTCGATAAATTCAAATCTTAAAGCTGGGGGAGGGGCAAAGGGGTTTTCCCTGACGCGTGATGGGACCCAAATTGGCTGCGTGATGCGTGATTTACTATTTTCACAACGAGTGACACGTGATTTTCCTTTTATTGAAATTTCCGTGATGATTAATATTATTTGAAACTAGAAGTAGAGACATTAAAAATAGATAGTCATGACACCATCTTCTTGACCTTCTTTCTCGTTCCTCGACCTCTGATTTCCTTAGCCTCCCACGTACGCAGGCGTTTTAAGGGAAGTTCGTATTTTGTCCCGTTTCGTTACCGCCATTTCAATTCTTCTTCCTCTTTAACTATTTGCACACTGATTTTCAAAAGTTAAAAACCTTTTGCCACTTTGAGACTAGAGCACCCCGGAGAACTTGTTCGCAGGCTATCCTTAACTATTATTATACTATTAAAGTCAGCTTACAATTAAATGTAACACAACCGAACATGCAACAGGATGCAGGCCCGAAACAGTTAATTTAGTTTCCCAAAGAAAATGTCCAGAATGCTAGAAAAGTCTGAAAGATGAGCTCTGTTGGCGGAAGTATCGAAGTGTGAGAGTTATATCTTAACATCGGCTACTATTTTCACTCCGTCAAACGCCCGGACCTGGCATTTATTTCAAACTAGAAATGGTGGGACCGGCATCTTGTTAAGTTTATATTTATTTATATTTCCTTTTTTCTTAGTGGGCGAGTATCTTGCACGAAAAATTGCCTTGAGGTCTTATTGATAACTTCTTATTTTAGACTATTGCAGATTTAAGGCGATTATTCTGGGCCAGTTCACACGGTATGTCTGCTTTTACCTTCAAAATCCGACAGAATCCTGGAATCGCTTCGGTGTCTATGCATAATCAGGGTTTTGTCTCCGCTCCTTTATATCAGACACTGTAAGTGTTTGGTAAGAAGTCTGATTATGCTACCCTTGATTTTCCTTTCTTGTAATATTGGCTGTCACACACGCAAAGAAAATGGACTAGATTTTTAAAACATCATTGAAGGCCATTGTCGGCCAAGCTTTTTGTTATGCCACAAACATCTCACGTATTTTCCAATAGTGTTCTAACATTTTGACCCGGGGGGTGAACCTGGGAATACTTGGTGCGGATGTGCCGCCCGGTTCTCCAAATCCTGACCCCATTTCAGACAAAAAATGTCATTAGAACAGCAACAACTTAACAAGATTTTTTAAAATCCATTTCGAATTCGCATAGTTCTCTTTCTTTCTTATTCTTATGGAATTGAAGCGATAAATACGTTCATCCACTCCCATAGTTCCCTTAAAAACCATATCCGCCGATTCCAGACCAAAATGGGCAAAGTCTACATCCGTTTTCAGACCAAAACGGCTCAGAAAGCCATACCCTTTTGGGGGGGTAGTATAAGGTAGTGCCCCCCCCCCGGGCACTTCCACTATCGCAATTATAACAATAGCTCACTAGTGCTATAAGTGACCATGACAAACTGTGTACTACTTTCACTTTCTTCCCAAAAACTTAATCCTCTTAGTATCACGTGATGTGAGAACCTCATTAGCTGCAAATCATTTACAAGTAGAATGTACATACAAGAGACAACTGGTATTGATATTATATTAAACTCTAGTACATTCCTTACATTTTAAGCAAAACTGACAAGAGTTTAAGTTATTACGTGTAAGAATTAGGTTTTAGCGGAATTTGTCGCCTTTGGGAGTATTTAACGCTCTTTGTCTCGGCGCTGCAGAATGTGGACTACCTCTTTTCAATTTCAGAACTGATTCAGTCCAATTAGGCAGTGTTGTTATTAACCAGTGAAAAACAGAAACAATCTGAAGAAGCTTCATAAAAATTGTTTAGTGATAGATAAGAGAGAATAGAATTTCATTAACAAAATCAGTGTGCTACTTTTAACTTCCTCTTCTGGCTGAAAGCTTGAAAGAACAAATTTCTTTGGAATTAATGGCATCTATTTAGGATCAGTTCCTTTAGGTGTGTGCTTCTTTGGGAAGATTAACAAAAGACCCCAACTTAATTAAAGTGCGTTCAATGGGATTTAGATGTCAGTGTTGTTGATCAAGCGGACAAACATGTTTACCAAGTGATTTGAAAATCTTCAAAACTATGCTAGCAATTTTAAAATTTTCGAGTGTTTTTGCTATTTAACACCCATCTGAACAAAGTTAAGGCCTTATTTTAGAATAAGTATGACTGTTATTTTGGTTACGTTCCCGAGTTTTGGATTCTACGAATCCAGTGACAGTGTACTGTTCAAATTACCAAACAAAAATCAGTTGACCCAGCAGATGTTTCCTCAAGTGTGTTGTATTGTTGAAATTTCCTGGTTTAATATGACAAGCCCAGCCACTTTGTCCTCCCCCCTCCCTGGCAGAGAACACTCTCGCCTGCCCTTGAGTGTGTGCAAACTAAGAGTTTATTTGCATAGAAATTCGTTCCATCAGCTAATACTAGCCAGACGAAAAAGGAGGCCCATATTGAGAACTGAGACAATTTATGGCTAGCATTAAGATATGCAAGGCATATTCCTATTCAATCCATATCACACGGCGGGGAGGGGCTGTAGGAGGTCAGTGGGGAATAGAGACGTGTCACTAATAACAAAGTTATTAACCACACAATAACGAAATGACTTAGGAGCTGTCAAATTAAAAACAGTGACTGTGAAGTTCATTGCTTTCCACTTTGCAAAGTGACCATGACTCATGGACAATGCCTCACAGCTTCGCCTCATCATCGAGAACTACACAGACGTCACTTCACTTTTGTAGTTAACTAATATAGTGGAGAGGAAGCCACAAGGAGGAAATTAGTGCCATTTGAATAACAACGAGTTTAAATAAGGAACACGACCACGTCACAAATTGTTTGCTCTCGCTTGTTTGCCAAGCGCCAAAACTTTTGTGTTCGTCATGTTGTGCGGACCAGTCACTATGAAAGACACGAGCTACGAGCCGTCTTTGTGGAACCGAAGGATTTCGGAAAACGAAATAATGTACAAGGAATGGGGCTTTCACGGGTCATACGGTCAACAGCGTGTTAACGATTGGGATCAAGTCAAACTGAATCTTTCACGATTTTCACAATCCCTTGTTGATGTTCGAGAGAGAGTTCCGACCGCAGCTAAAATTGAAAGTCAAGACTGCTTTCAGAGCGAGAGAAAAGCATTGTCAAATTGGTCCTCGACAACGGAAATTGGGACAAGAGAGATGGAAAGACCCCAATTTCAAATTACAATTGAACAACCAATTCGACATGTTACGCCTTCCAGCACAAGCAGCGTTACATTTCCTTTGTGGTCTAAGCCCCGCGGTCCTTACGGTAAAGGCCGTCGTTCATCTGACGGTTTACTGGCTACAGCTATTCCTTTCTCTGGAAGAAAAGCAATGGTGTTTAGCCCTTTATCTGAGGAGCACAGCGCGAACGAACATCGATCTGCTCAAACTGTTAACAATTGTAACAGCAGGGTCTCGACGCTCAATTGCCGCCGATTTTCCGATGGTTGCTTTCGCAGTGTTCCATCGTACAAAGAATTCAGAAAGGTCAGCGTGGTTTTACCACAGCCCCGGAGAAGCGTGAACGTAGAATCGGTGGAGGAAAGTAACACTGAAGACTTTCCAGACGAGAAAAAACTACAGGATTTTGAAAGTGCTGATGGCAGCGAAAATGAGGAGGACGACCGTTGGAAGGAATTAGTGGCAAAGGCACAAGGATTTAAGAGCGGTGGCGTAAACGGCGCGGGTAAACCAAGAGGATTGCAATTGGAAGACGTAAAAGAGAACGTTAGCCGTTCCTCAGAGATGGAAGAAGCTTACAGCGACATAAGCAGCGAGGCCTCTTTCTCATCCTCCAGCAGCTCATATCACTCATCGTCTGACAGTGATAGCCAGTTTGGTAATGCGCGAACATTTAACCCTATGTCCAGAGAAGTAACGAACTGCAATTCAACTGAAGGCCACACAAGTGGGAGCTCTAAGGCTGCAGTTAAAATCCGCCGAGCTTCCATTCAACCTAAGTTTAACGGTTTCTCAGGGAGCAATCATACGCGCAGATATTCAGTAGCAACGTTTAGCCCCACGCGTTCGTTTGACGCCACGAACACGGCAAAGCTTTCTGGCTACAGCACGCAAAGCGCGTTAGAACAAGCGCGGCAACTTCTTAGCAGGTTGCAGTCAGAAGGAAAGAACAAAAATAAGAAAGAGAGACTAGAAGAACTAAGCACAGCACTCAAGTGGATTCTAGAAGAGCTTAACCGCATTGAAACTCCAGACAGGCAGCTAGTGAGTTTGTTTATAAGTTTGCGTGCCAAAATAGTAAACTTAAAGGCTGATCTAAAGTCGGAAGAATTTGATGCGACCTGTGTCGATCCTGCTGAAATCGGCAGCGCCCTACCGATGCAAAAACTCATGACCGAAGCCAGCATTGACAATGCCTGTTCCAGACGGTTTAGCTGGTGCTGAAAAGAAAATATTTTCTGTTTCAGGTAAGTTGTTAAGAAACTTGTTTTTCTTGCACAACACTTGATATTGTTTCCGTTTCACGCGTAACAGTTGGGATAACGCAACAAGGCTTGGGCCCTCAATGGCTTTATAGCCGAACAACTTCAAACTGTGCTAGTGTTTGCGTTGCACCTCAAAATTAAAACAAGTCTCAATGTACACAAAGAATAATAATGCTTGTTATCATGAAGATTCAGTGAAGAGGGGTATTAACATTTTGATTTCCTCGAATAAAATTAAAGTTCTTTTTTAGTCATTGCCCAGCTGTTGGCATTAGGGCCCGGGGGTGAATAAAATAATTGCGTGGGAAAACCATTCTTCCGCGAAAACGGTTATAAGAGTAATGATCAATTTTTTAACAGCCAAAACAACATTCATTGTCTTCTACTCTTATCAGGAATTTCCTTTGTTTTGCAAATTACTCAAGTTCTCTTTTGAAGCCACTAGATTCAACTCAAACATACTAAACTGAGTTACATGTGATCCATGACGATGGTTTTTAAAGGAAACGTGGCCTTTGTCCGTTCGAAATGGAGAGCAAATAGATACTTCAAAACATATCATAGCATTCTGTGATTTCCGATAGCCTGTCATGAAATTGGTAATTTGTTCATCTTCGTTTTGTAAATAAGAAGTTAAGACAATGTTTGATTTTTCTCGACTTTCTTAACTTCAACAAACGTGTCATATTGCAAGGTTAAATTAGATCGAAAACGAAAGTGGAAAATTCGGGAAAAGATCTTAAGGTTTGCGTGTTTAGGCAGAGTATTTTCATTATACTAAAACAATATATTACTCAAGGGTCACAAGGTTAGGCTGGAGTAATCTTAGTTCAAAGGAACGCAGTGCAAACATTTAAGAACAACGTCAAATTAATGAGACGTTTTCAATCATGTGATTTGTCTTCGCCTATCAAAGGATCGAGACAGGACTTTCCTATTAGCGGAGGTGGCATACAAAAAACTTTCTGACGCAAGTTATATTGAATGAGTCATTTTGGTCGTTTTTAGGATGTTAGTTTTGTAATAAGACCACTACCAGTCACTATTTGGTAACCCATAATATTGCTAAAGGGGCCCAACGATAAAACTCATCCAAAGAAATAAAGGCATTACCCAAAATTCTGCCGAAGACTTCATAGAGTTTTCATTTTGTTGCTGGTAACACCATAGAGGATTTTTTACACAGGTTTTCAAAGTCAGAGAACAAATATTCTTGACGTATAACTCAGTGTAGGAGTGCTTATATTCAATACTGTCGGAAATGGTACTTCTAGAAGTTGAATTTATAATAGTGGTGCTCATTTAACTATTTTTAATTGAATGATTTGTTTTCTGTCCATAAAGCTGAACACACAAAAAAATTGTACCTAGAGTTTTTTATTAAGTATGCCAAACCTCCTGCGATATTTGTTTTAGTTTGTTTTGTTTTATTTTCTTTTGTATTTTATTTCTGCTATGAGGATCATGTCCAGACATGTAATGATTACGAAGCACATTAAACTGCCTTATTTCTTTTTCTTAACGTAAATTCAACTTCTCGTTTTTTTTGTATCTTGGAAATTTTATTTGCGTTCGCACGGAAAAGGAAATAATTAGCTCGTTCCGGAACTTTAATGATTATGGTTCATTCGCGTGTCACCGCGCGCGATCACACAGTTGCCGAGATGCTAAGGTGAAAACTGACGTGCTCTTTTTAATATCCAACAGCTACCAAAATATATTTGCGACGAAAATGGACTTAATACGAGTTAACACAGGCAAGAAACGTGGCAGTAATTGGCTAGGAATAATTGGCTAACCGTCTTAGAGCAGAGCTAATCCTATGTAATTTATTGTGTATTTGTGAGTCGGGCAAGAATCACGTTCTTTCAGTCGTGTGGATAAAATCTGATATATTGGCATTTGCGAAACAAAGTTTTGTGAGTTTAATCAATATAATCCGACTATTGTAATGTTGAGCGCTGAGACTCATGCTGGCAGGCACGTATAACTTATGGTACTGCATGACTACTTAAATAGTAGAGGGAATATGTTTTTGATATATGCGCTGTGATCTGTTGGAAAAAAGAGAGCTTCTCAGACTCTTGTCGCCTTTCAAATAACGGGCTTGATGAAGAAATAGGAAAACTATAATGATTTACCGGTCGCTCAAAAGAGTTTTGAGTGACGTGAGAAGAGTCGCAAATATTTTACAAATATTTTAAACAAAAAACTGAAGATGGCTCTTTTAAAAAAGCAGGCTCTTCCTTTTACAGTCCTGTTCCAGCTGGTAAACCGTGTTAGTAAAGGCTGAGTACGAGCCAAAGGCCCTGTGATATCAGGCTGGAGCTTGTCTTAATTTCCATAGCGTGGCGTGAAGCGACTAGGAATATTTCTTCTCCATCCCCCCCCCCCCCCCCCCCCCCCCCCCCCCCCCCCCCCCCCCTTTAAAAGAAGAAGCCCTGTCATTGTACAGCCGCGTTCCACGTGGTAACCCTGGTTAGAAAGGGTTGTGAAGGAGCGAAAGCCCTGGTGATATCTGGCTGGGTTTTTTTTTATTTCCCATGGCGGGGGGGGAGCCGCCAGGGAATTTTTCTTCCCCCTCCCCCCCCCCCCCCCCCCCCCGCCGTACCCTTCTGCACACGTAAGTGCTGTGAGACATAATGAGAGTGAAGCTATATCCGAACATTAGGATTGATTTACAGCTCCTGATCGAGCGAATCAATTAGCCCGCGATTTCTCCCTGAAGGGAAGAAAACAGATCCGAAAGATCGGCGAAAACCGAACCTTTCCGAAAGCTGCCTCGTCCCCTGTCGTCTCTATTTAGGTCGCACGCTGAGAACGGAAGGCGCGAAGCGTGACAGAAGGGAGCGCGAGGGGTGATGGGAAGGAGGAAAACGTCATCCCTCGCGATCGCGCTCCCCTTGACCGCCCTTATCTCATTGTAGGAGACTGAGAGACGACTGAGGGCGAGTCAGGCCTGAAAATATATCCTCTAAAAAAAGAATCTCCACGACGAAACTTTTTGATGGCAGCGTTTAACCTTCAGTCTGTTGAAGAATTACTGGTTTAATAGTACTGAGAACAAAAAGGAATGAAACTCCCCAGTACACTTAAATGTGTTAAGGTATTTTACAAGATTAAATATTCTTGAAGACTTCAAACAAAAACTTTCAAAAAAACTTACATGTAATGTCTTTAATCTCTTTAGATTATGAAGCGTTGTGCAAGAGGGATGAGCGTCTATACGTGACTACTGCAAGTAGAACTTTGTTGGTATTTTAACATAAAATCAACTTTTAAAAATATTGGTTGTTTGATAGACAAGCAGTGACTCTTTATAAAAGATAGAAACGTGAGGCACAGCCCAAGTGATTTTAGACGTCATAACAAAGTCTGAACTGCTCTATTTGACCATAAGAAAACTGAAGTTACGTAAAAGCTACGATTTAAAGAACTAATTAGACATTCATTTTTTTTCTTTCTGAATGGTTAGAGGTTTTGAAATAAGTGAAAAGGTCATGTATTAAGAAGGTGATCTGTTTTCAAATAGTCTCTTGTTAACTGTATTTATGGTTTAGTAATTAGTATATGAATAATTTTGGAAAAAGAAAAAGTAGTAGAAATTATAGTGATTCACAATGTAAATAGATAGTACGTGCTATGAGTTGGATTTTATATATTAATTCAGTTGTTTTGTAGGATAGAATCCGATAGCCGTGCTTTTTTATTGTCACAATCGTACAACAGACAAAACAGAAAACAACTGTTATTTTATCGATCTCATAATTGTTATTGGTGTACACTTAAGCCGGATCGAACTACATATGTACCTTCTGACTTTCTCCTTTTCTTTACCTTTAAGCGTCTTAGAGAAAAGGATGTGGGATGAAGAGCGAGTTAAGGGCTCCACCACTTAATGTAATCCTTAATTTATCTTTAAGGTTTTTCTCTGGTTAAAAATCAATATAATTACTGACAATTTGCTCTACATGAAGCAAACTAAGCAAGTACGTGTACTAGCTGATTTGGGTATTTGTATATGAACATGCGTTAACGCTTACTTAGAGTTTCAAAAGTACAAAAGCATGTGTAAGGTAAAAACTTATAAACAAGATTTTAAAATATATCAACTCAGACAATTTTATGGTAAAATCTACATAAATGATAATTCTGTGTGTTACAGATAACGACTAAAAGGAATTTGCTTGACCCTTTTATACAATCAAATGAGCAATGAAGATAATTAAACGTCGATTATATACAATGTCTACTTAATGATCTTTCCCACCAATGCCCTTGCCTACTTTAACGTAATAAGCCAACCGGAAGTGATTTTTTGTGGTGATTCCATGTGCTTTGCATTTTAGTGAAGACAGTGTTTTAGCTACACCGTGTTGCCATTTGCGCATTAAGTAATGTGATTGACAACTTTATTTTTTTGGACGGCGAGGGTCGTTTGTTCCCCCACATTGCGGGACATCCAAAAAACGGCTGCAAGGGATAATAACCGAAACCTGGTTTTGGAAATCCTGACCAATCCTGACAGAGTTAAAAAGAAAAAACCAAGTAACATTTTGTGGAAAAATCAGTTGTCAATTTCGCCATTTAACTACTGCTCTTGTAGATTAGATTTCTCCCCTTACTAAAAAGCTAACTAGCCACAATTCCACGCAAAAGGAAGACGAGAAAGTGGGCAACAACACTGAATAAAACAAAGAAAGGAGAGCGAGAACAAAAATCGAAATAGATTCGCCAAAAAGTCAAAGCATGCGCGAGACAACCTATTTGTCGGAAAATAAGCTCTTACGGTTGCAAAACTCAGTTTTAGCCATTCCCAATGTAATTAACCAAAAATCATTCCAAAAAAGAGGAATTGGTGAAAAATGCGGGGTCTTATTTTCGCTACTCGCTGGACGTCTTTAAAGGGTTCAATAAGTGAGGTGGGTTCCTAATAGACTATAAGGCTATTCTCAAAGTGGGATCCACAACTTGCTCACTGAAATTGTAACTCACGTGCACCGGACAGTAATGTAGGAGCTACTCGTGGCACCGGAAACTGAACAACCATTGCAGTAATTAACAGATCTCAGTCGATTTACACATCCATTGTCCTACTTTAATGCATTTAACAACAATAGGATTATTTGCATTCAGTTAGCACTATATGAATTCGCTGCGAACAAACAAACACCGATCGATCAACAGGCGTGAAATGTGCTCTACGTTTTCAAAAAAATTAACATCGAAACTCTCAGTGAAAGAAACTTATCTAACTGAAGCATCTTAAAGGAAATAACACACGTTCAAAAGTTCCTTCCGTCAGACCACTAGACCATTGCACAAATTGCTCAAATTCCCCATAACAATACCACACTATTAGAAATGTCGTTGGAAGATTACGGCCGAGACAATTCATGGCTTCTAAAAAAATTTCGTCTGGCAAATAATCCTGACAAATCAGGTGTTATTACGTTTTTCAACAATTTAAGCCACAGAGGACACAGTCTGTTTATTACTGACCGACAGTTTTTGTATCCCTGAGCTAATCGCCGCCATCGTGACACGTGTATATAGCGTAACTGGCTCCAGTTAATAAACCGTCTGTCACATAATTTTGCGATATGCTGACTAGAATGAATATATTGTTGAATTGGGACTGGGCATCTGCACTGAACAACTTCGAATATACTAGCTTTGAAGCTTGCCTCAATAGTTAGTGTGTGTGGCAGAAACTAATTGCACCACAGGAAACCAAACTTACCGGGCTTTCCAAACTGACGAACAAGCCTGTTTATTGCCTTGTATTAAAAAAGTCCTATTTGACATCTGAACTCATGAGCAACCTGGAGCCAGTTCACTGCGGTATTTATTTCAGTTCACTTGGCAATTAGATCAGACTAGCCCGTCTTGGGAAAGTATTATTAAAGTCTTTAACTACAGGAACGTAAGAAAAGCTAGCACTCAAGTCGATTGAATGGTCTACTATGTCAAACTCGTAAGGTTCGTCCATGTCACTACTTAGGGCTCGTTGAAGTTTGATTTTCCGTATTCCTGCCTGAATCTTCGCAAATGTCCGCATGATGTCTTTATCTTGTGCTCGCAGCTCGGCGAGCTCTTTCCTGATCCACTCGAAAGCCTCCTCGATTTGTTGAATTCTTTCTTTCTCTGTTTTACTTGAAGAGTTCCCGATAATTTCCAAAAGAGCTCTAGCTGTTGGTCGATCTGAGTTCCGCCTTGAGGTAAAAGAGTTATTCAGTTCAGAGAAGCGCCGGAACGGCTGAGAGTCCAAACCGTCCTGTGAGATACCTTCTGGTAAAGTATTAAGCTTGTTCAATCTTTGTTCCTCAATTTCAGCTTTGTCCAATTCAAGGGAAACTTTCTTTAACTTTTTAAACTCTTCTTCAAGTTCTTCTCGTTGCTCTTTCGTTATTCCATTGCTCATTTTCGCCGCTGGCGCAACACTGTCACGGTTATCTTTAGTCCGTGGCGACGGTTGACTGACTACGGCGTAAGCGCATCCAAGTGAAAAAGTATTCGGTGATGAATTTAACTTGTCTTTGTTAGCTCTTATTTCTGATGCATCCTTGACAACTGTACTGTTTTGCCCCCCTGAAGGATTTGTTTTGTTCTCAACTGTGTCCCACGCATCATTGGGCTTGCGCATTAGAAAATTTGGCGAGGCAGGCGTGCTCCTGGATTGCGGTGGAATCTCGACTCGCAGTAACTCTATAAACGGGTTACTTGCAACTATGCTAACATTCGACTTGGCTATCTGGCATGACTTATCTTCCTCGCTCACAAATTGTGCCACTATCGGAAAGCTTTCGTTCTCTCGGGAGTCTTCGGAAACTCTTCGTACCCTTTGAGGAGTAGTTTTCGACCGAGTTGTGTCGTCTTTTCCTCTGCTAGGATTCCTTTCTCCCACGGTTCCATTTGTTCTCTCCATGAGGTTTTTATCAGCAGGCGGTTGATGGTGTTGTTTATCTGTGAGTCCAAGAGTTACTCGAAACTGTTGCCCTAGCTTTCTTCTTCTTGCTTCCCACTGATCACCTGACTCTTTGGTGTTATTGTTGAGATCAAGGGAATGCATTGCATTATGCTCCTTGATAACTTCCATGGGGCTCGCTCCAATGGTCCAAAAACGTGGTCTGAAAACATTCTCTTGCAAAACGTGAAAGCTGTTTTTTCGGGCCGGGCTTCTGCTCTGTGGCCTGTTTTCACTGTTCGCGTAAGTGATTTTTGGTGCTGTCGTGAGCGATATACTTCGTGGGCGTCGTGCAGACTTGCTTCCATCGCCTCGCGAGCGTTTCCATTTGCTATATAAAGTCTCCGAGTTGAGATTTTCAAGAGATCTTGAAAATGTTCGAAGTTTTTCCATTTCTTTACTGCGAAGCTCAACATCGGCAAAATTCACTTCAGTAGTGATTTCTGTTGACGAGTATTGCATTTCTTGAACCATCGGGCCAGGCGTTTTGAGTTACTCCTAGATGAAAATTTTCGTATCCAAACTTTAACAGCTATAATTAAACAAGAGCAGGGAAACAAGTCAGGAAACGATGCACTGAAAAATATTTCCAAGGCCAGGAAAAGTAGCCGGCCGCAAAATTCCCTCACTAAGCTTTTAAATTTTGCTTGGCGTTGCTACGTATTGAACCTTCAAACTTGACCACGTCGAGGATCGTTGAAGATTGTAAACATGCTCAAAGACGAGCCCTATGTTCGTAAGTATAATATAAACGAAACAAAAGCCCTTTAGTTTTGTTGGTGAAAATTAGGTCTAAATTCGGTTTGGGGCAGGACCAGCTTTTAGCTACGGTTGCAGGCTTTGTATTTCTACATACCTTGGTTTTTACTGATGAAGTTTCAAAATACGTGTCAATACTTTAAAACAAAAACTCTCTACGCTGTATTTTAACATCTATGATTTCATGTTTTGAACTGAAGCAAATGCCTTTTACACCCCTTTCGACGGCACGCATATCGAAGACACTCGGTCTATTTGAACCCAACCATTAAGCTTGGCGTTCAGGAAAATTTTCAGTAACTTAGACCCCAAATCAGACAAAACAACCTGCTTCAGGAATTAGTAAAATAATTCTTCAACCGGCTTTTGCAAGATAGTGTCTACGTTACTATCGAAATGATGTGGCTTGGAGGATAGTGCATTTCTGCTATGTGTTACGTGGGCTCTTCTCTAAAGCCTTACCTCATGACCTGCGTCAATCCAGGTGTTTTGATTCTCGCGATTTCAAGTAACTGACAAAAAAAATTCCTACACAAGGCCTTTTGTTGCTTTTGAAGAAGGTACCAAGTACTTGACATTCCTTGTTCATTATAGACCGTACAATAAGACAATGGGTCTATCCGTAACTAATCTTGAAAACAGGTTCCCAAGAAAATCATAGATGGTTCTATTCATCCACGTTTAATAACTCATATGGCACCAACAAAAAACAATGTGACAGCTATTGTACCCATCGTGGACCATAGAACAATAAAAAGTCGTTATTATTGTCATGTTAATAGTGCATTGCCTTAAACCTAAAGCAAATTAGTAAGATATCCGTGTAGCTGATTGTACTGCAGTAAGTTTTGATGTGAATTCAAGCACGTACGAGCTGGAAAAAACATCCGGCATATTTTCATGACAAGCACGTAATGCGACAATTTATCCTAAACATCCATTTTCTTGGTATTTACCATTTTCCATGTAAAAAGAAAAAAATATGTTAATGAAAATCTCTAGAGGCCAACGATAATTTAATTTTAGTTGTTTGTGGTTTCGCTGGAACTGACACAAACAAAGTTGTCGACAGTTGTTAAAAGTCCAGCTTCATATATCCGTTTACCTACACACTTTACCTGTGTTTCACCCACCCAGAACATGGAAATTTAGTGCATTTAGTTCCGGAAATTATGTAACTCATTATGCAACCCGTCGAAATGTAGAACTGAGTGTGGAATGTGACACATAATGTAATAACATTACTGAAAGCCCAGAAACTCTTGGTAGTCTAGTCAAGCATGCAATGTTTAATTTGTAGAAAACATCAATCAATATTTTCCATAGGTGTAAAACGTAGTCTCACAGTCATGCAATTAACTTTAAAACGTTATACACTCAACGCAGGCAATTATTTTGAACTAGGAGGAGCAGTGAGAGGCTAAATAGCAAAACTCCGCCTTCAACTCAACAACCCTTTGTTCTTTTTTTTTGTTTTTGCATCGACAGATCCTTAAACAAATTTGAAAACAAGAAATAAGTAGCATCACGGGAAAGTAAACTCCGCGTGAAAACGGGTGTTGAGGCTTTTTAAAAAACGCTTCAGTTGATCTGAGGCCTTGGTCCTACCTGAAATAATCGCACTTCATCCAGTATTACGTCATTGAGAGATCAATCCAAACAAAAAAAATCTAAAATAGCCGGACTCGTGTGATTGAGATTATGGGTGGATTTGACTTAATCTTTGCATGCAAGTGTTTTGACATGCAACAGAATATAACTGAGACAAGCTGAAAAACAGTCACGATTATAGAACTGCTGCCTTTTCAGAACCGAAATATCCGATGTCCTGCCGGACTGCATATTGGCTTATGACGAACTTTTAACAAAAGTTTCAAGTTCAAAATTTTTATTCGTCGGTTGCATAACCTTTTGTGATTACCTCAATCTTTGCATGTAAGTGTTTTAGTTTGAAACAGAAAATAACTAAGATGAGTAAAAACAGTCACGATCATAGAACCGGCTGCCTTTTCAGAACCGAAATATCCGATCTCTTGTACTGAATGTTGCCCCATGAAGAACTTTAACAAACGTTCCAGGTTTAAATGTTTATTCGTCGGTTGCATAACCTTTTGTGATTACCTCAGTCTTTGCATGTAAGTGTTTAGTATGCATGTAAGTGTTTAGTATGCAACAGAAAATAACTCAAATTGAGTAAATACAGTCACGATCATAGAACTGCTGCCTTTTCAGAACCGAAATATACGATGTCCTGTACTGAATGTTGCCGCATGACGAAATTTAACAAAAGTTCCAGGTTTAAATGTTTATTCTTCGGTTACACAACCATGCCGTGATTCTAGTGAGAGGCGACGAAGACAGAAGATGACGTTATGATAAAAAGTCTGGCCTTTAACTTGGACCTGGGTTTAGTCCTATAAAAACAGCCCTTGAAAACTAATAAGTAAGGATTACCATGGTTTTTCCTCGATACAAAGTACATCAAGTGATTTGGCACTATGTAAAATTGAACAGGGCTTTTCTCTTGCACTTGTTTGCAAGTATATTTAACCATAACCAGGGTTTCTTCGAGAACTGGGGCCCGGGTTTAGTATAAAATAGGATGATTTATTTAAACTTATTATATAACAACCAATGAAATAACAGGTTAGCTTTCGCGCGGAAACATGATATCTCAACACGTGCAAATAACATCGCACGTGAAAAGATCACCGTTGCTATGGCTACATAATAAATCGCGCCTTGCACAGCAAAAAATGTTTTAAAAGTGAAATGGTTGGTATTTTATTGATGTTTACGTAATAGATAGAACATTACATGGCACTGAAAGAGTTTGTTTTGTTTTCTCCAGAGTCCTGATGCTTCCCGAGACAAAGTCTAGCGAAACATCAAAAAGTCGTGGGAAAACAAAACTGTCTTTTTTCCTGAGGGACCTGGTATTAAATGTTATGTTGTACTCCGTGAGACTTTCACAGGTCGGTACACGAATTTAATTCTCAAAACCACTGAATGAATGATCTTCAAAGTAGTTTCCTTGTATTATGTCCATCGTTTTCCTACACCCTACTAGCTGCCGTATTTCGTCTTGGATAACTTCGAATCGTTGCTTTTTAGCTTGAGGCTCGATTTGCCTTTTTGTGTTGGGATTTATCAAAGTTATCAAATTGACAGTGTTTTCCCGCCTTCTATCAGGCCACTTTCCACCATGCTTTGATCACGTGCTGTTGTATCCCGAGTGGAGTACAACTGATTAACAAATAGATTCCATGTTGCCGTGCGTCTGTTCAGTAATAGATCACAGATGACGTCAAAATGCGGTAAAAACAAAGAAGTGGCAGTGATGTTTTTACCAGATTTTGACGTCACCTGTGATCTATTGCTGAAAAGACCCACGGAAACATGGAATTTGACCAGTTTTCTTAAATATACAATTGGAGTTTTAGCATTTAAATGTGTTAAGGGGCTAGCCCCTAGCTACCTTTGTCATAGATTTAAGACACGTGACTGCGTTCATGACCGTAATACTAGATATAAGAATAACTTGAATATCCCAGCTTATAAGTCAGCTTCTGGGCAACGCACATTTATTTCCTTCCAAACTCATTCCTATCCTTTAGATCTAAACATTTATTATATCGAGTCTATATTTATTCGGTCGTTTAGACCATGAGGGTTAGCCGGACCCTCCCCCCCCCCGCCCCGACAAAGGGGAGCTCCCTCTCTCCGTTTTTCCTTTGTCGGGGGGAGGGTGCGGCTACACCTAGGCTACATGAAGGTCTTCCTATTTGTCATTAGAAAACATCTGAAAGGAGCTGTACCTCATAGTTCTAGTTCATACCTTTTAGGAATTGACCATCAAATTGAGTTAAATATAAATAACTGCTTGAAACAGTGAAAGGACGTTTTAAATAATTAGCAGTGCAAATACAAAAACCGACGGATGCCTTGGAAAAACTTGAAGAATTTCATAAACATCATGATAAAAGAAGGATTGTCATTGGAGTTTTTGAAAACTGTTCAGGCTCACAATTTTTCAAACTTTATCCCTAAAAACTTTGAATTGCAAAGTCGCATGAGAGCCTTATTTAGTGTTTGTTATGATTTGAAGCTAACGTTAAAGTTTCCTCTCAAGCCATAGTACAGTAGGTAAAACTAAAGAGTTTATGGAACACAGATTTAATTTTTAAAAAAAGTCACAACTATTGTAGCTTCACAGTTAATGATAAGCTTCAAACTTGGAAGAGCCTATAGAATCGACTCTGGTTAGATAAAGCCATGATAAGTGTTTCCTTTGCTTCCTTGTTCTTCCTTAAGCGCATTTATCAGCTTAATTTTTGCAGTGTTCAATTTCAGGGGATCTCATTCCACCAGATCGCTTAAATCACCCTGACTTTGTCGAGCTCTCTATCATTTTACCTTCAGAAACTTTCCTGGACTATCGATCGCATCGATGTCAGATCGCGTTAGTCTTGTATCAAACCTTGTTTAATCAACTTCGTTTATCCAAGTGAATTCACCATAGTCAATCTCTCCATCGCCGTCCTCATCTAACATGTCAATGAGCTTCGTCAGTTGGTCATCGGTCATGGGAACTCCAATGCTCTTAAGGCCCATTCTAAATTCTTCTCTAGTTACCGACAAGCTGTTATCCTTATCAAACTGGTTAAACAAGTCTATTAACCGGTAATTTTTATCCTCGACATACTTTTTGAGGATGTAGATCAGTTCATTCCCCTTGTTATTTCCAAATCGGTCGTCGAGAGGATCCGGTTTGTCAGACCGTTTACTGAAAGTGCACGTGATTGTGAGTCCCGGATGTTGTCCCAGAAGCAACTCCACGAGTTCTTGAGTCTCTAAATTGACCACGACGCTGTTGAAAAGAATTTGCTCCAAGGCAGAGTCCACGTTGTTTTTCATTGCTGTGAGAAGACCAAAAGCACCGATATTTTGCAGTGGATTCAGCCCAATTCTACAGGAGAGGTAAAAAACTTAAATCAGCACTGTATCCACCCTGTAAGCTTATGATTTTGAAAAACCGCACAGTAATTTTTAGGGAGTTATTTAACGCCAAAAATGGAGTAAACATTTTAGGTACGGGATAACCCCCTTTTGGGGGTTGCTTTAAATCCTAATTTAACTCCAAATTTGGGGTCATTTTTACTTCTGAAAAAGAGTTCTTTTTACACCCAGTCTGGAGTTAAAATAACTCCGAAAATGGGGTTATTGTTACTCCTTACATGGGTTGTTTTTACTCTTTTAGGAGTTACTTTAATTCTGAAAGTGGACTAAAAATTTTAGGTACAGGATAACTGGGGAAATAGCTCAATATCTGGCGTCATTTTTACTCCTGAAAATGAGTTCTTTAAACTTCTTTTTGGAGTGAAAATAACTTCGACCCCGAAAAATAACTCCATTGTAAGGAGTTAAATTAACCCCACTAGAGGAGTTATTATAACTCCTTGAAAATTACTGTGTGGAGCCATACGAAATTAAAAAGTACAAAGATGTAACTAATTTTGATTGTAAAATCGAGCAAGACACTTTTTCACTTCAAGAAAACATCCCTCTACTCCCATATAACATGAAACTCAAAAAAATATAAATAGTTCTATTTTTCCTTAATACTGAGTTAGATTCCTTCGCATTTCGAGAATAAAAACGATTGTTGATAGCGCCCCTCCCCCTCCACCCCCATAACCAACCGGCCTAACGCTGGTAACTGGTGTACTCTTGACCTTTGCCCTACTCAGAGACTTTTGGAAGGTAACATTGTAACTGTTAAATGTCCTGTGACTGTAAAGAGAAACCAACATGAGCGCGAATTTGAGGAGAAGATTTTCAGCTACAAAATATAACTTGAAAAATGGTTTAATGTGTTTATTTATTACAACTTCGTTCAAAATTTTCTCATGATTCTATATGTTTTAGCCCTGGCTATCTAAAATTGTATTGTTATTATTATTACTATTATTATTATTATTATTACTATTATCTTTATTGTTGTTGTTGTTGTTGTTGTTGTTGTTAAGTCACAAACCTTAATATTTTAAGCGTATTGTTGATTTGTAGGCCTTTAGCGAATGCCAACGCTCCCTCGGTGGAAATTCTGTTGTTGGTTAAATCTAAATCAATCAATGTATTATTTTCCTTAAGAGATTCTCCGAACGCTGCAGCTCCTTCATCAGCTAAACCATTCCAAGAAATGTCTAATGTCCGTAGACTGCAGTTAGCACGCAAGCCTTTACCGATGGCCACGCCTCCTTTGCCTCGGAAGTGATTCCAGCTAAGATTAAGATATTCTAATCCACCGTTTGCGTCAATAGCAGGTCCTAGGAAAGAAAACAGAATGACTGAATTAATTGTGTTAGGGTCGACCATTAATGAAAAAGTGTGGGAGGGGTGGGCGAAGTACAAAAAATATTGATGCAAGGGAAAATTAACAAAAGAAATAAGGGAAATTTTAAGAATAATATTCATGCAGCGCGAAAATTCCCCACCCCCGCAATAACTCTTTTAACGGTCCACCCCTTAGAAGGTGTTAATTCATAACATCTGTTACGTTTAATTACGGTTTGAGACATCTGTACACAGGCTCTTCTAACGTCATGAGGACGTTGATTTGCAGCTATTGGATGGACTACAATTTGAGAACTATTTAAGCATTGTCTAAGAACTCATTCAGCTCGTGAGATCTACGAAAAAAGGAGGGGCAAGGAAACTACCTTGGACCTGATTAAAGTAGCCAAATTAGTCCCTAATGAGGTATCGTGAAACCCGGGTAACGGGCATACCAAGGGGACATGCCGTGGTTACACTGAAATGTTTTATCGACGAAAGCACATATTTTCACGAGAACACTTTTTAAAGATGATATATGAGCTTTTATTTAGGACAAACGAAACTTTCCCTTATAACGGTATCCGTATTAAGCGGATGTCCATACAGCGGGGCTCCAATGTACAATGGCTGTACTTTTCGCCCCACAGTCAACTCCCATGTAGCGGGCACTGTAGGGACCTTGAGTTAGTGTCCACCTCATTACCAAGAGCCGTAATAGCGGGATTTTATTTAAGTCAAACATCGGCAATAAATTTTTGCCTGGGATTTAGCTACTCTCTATAATTCAGGAGCACCCAACGACTGCTCTCTGTAAATATCTGTGCAGAGAAGCAGATAATACCTAGAATTCTCTATTACTTGAGGACGTAGTAAAAAGGAAAACTAAAATTTTCGAATCCAAAAATATGATGGAGAGGGAAATAAGAAAAATTATCACTTTCGTAATACGTTAAATTGCCTCTAAAATTTTCGGGAAAATAATACTGAGGCCCTTGTAATTTCGAAAAGACTCAAGTTCCCCTAGGATGACCGAACAGATACAAATTTTATAGCGCCGCTTAGAATGCATTTCTAGACATCTAAAAGTACCCTGGATAGTCTAAAAAGTGTTTTTAATTTGTTTGGGAGGAAACCGTCGTTGGGTGCCCCTGATAATTGGGGTGTTCGTCATAGCAAGGCGAGAGTGGACTGTATATGATTAAAGAAGACTATTCTAACCCAATAACATCCCAGCTTCCTCTGCGAACCCATTATGACTTAAGTCAAGCCATGTCAGTGTTTGATTGACACGGATTCCCTCTGCCAGGCATTCGGCGTCTTTGTCTTTAAAATCATTCCACGACAGGTTCAATTTCTTGATGGTGTTATTGTCAGTGAGCACCTCGGAAATGGCCTGGGCACCAGGGCTCTTTATTTTGTTTTGAGCCAAGTCCAACTCGGTGATGTAAAAATTTTCCTTAAGCATCCTAGAGACGTAACCAGCTCCCTCGGGTCCTATATAAAATTAAGAAAAATAACTATCTTTAAAAAGACGGCTCCACCTGTACTAGACTTGCCCAAAAGTCGAGCTCAAAATTTTCCTCGCGCGCATAAAGCGCGAGCTAGAAATTTTTACGTTTTCGGTGGCAAAGCGAGTGAGGGAGCGGGAGCTCTTCGCGCTGGGGCTTACCACCGGAACCGTAAACGAGAAGCGAAGGACTTTGAGAAAATCTATACCTGTACAGACGTTCTGCACGAGAAACGCTTTGCATTACACAGAGGAGTCTTCTATACAGTTGATTATTACGGTGAGGGCAGAATACGTTCAAGGGAAGTTATCATGATCTTCAGTGCCTTTTATAGATTTTAAAAAAGAGACATTCCTACCCGATTGAGGAAAACGAAGTTGTGTGATTAACATCAAAGTATATTGGGATGTAGGGTTTCATAAGTAAGCAAAGATCCTAAGTCAATTATCGAAACTTACCAATGGCACAGTCCCGTAAGTTCAATGTCGTTGTTGCCGTGTTTCTCATTAGAGCAAACGCGATAGCCCGGGCACCACTCGGTCCCAATCCATGATGTTTAATATCAATCTTTTCCCGTGTGATGTGCTCGATAACAAATGAGACGGGAATGATTCCCAGTTGAGAACAGGCTTCCATATACGCTTTGCGACCTGCAGGGTCAGTTGGATGCCTAAGTTAGTTATTTTCAGCCAATGAACCGATTATCGTCAACGCCAGTTCCGCAAGCGGAGAAAGAGAGATAATAGACATACAGCTATTTTCTGTTCTCCAGTATTGCTGGCTTGAATTTGTGAGACTTACTTGATGATCAACACTAGCGAAAAAATCTACCTAAAAGTTAACTGTATATGAAAACGTCGGTGTTCTAAAGTCAACAGGCGAAAAAGGGCAAAGAAACCGTTCTGCTTCTGTACAGTTTTGATCAGTTTTTTATAGTGAACCCTTGCACGTAATATAATCAGTAAAGGACCTAGTCTGTACAATCATGCAGTTCAATCACCCAGCCGAGGAGATCCCCAGTATCCTCATTCCACTCATTTTACTTAGTGTAGTGGGGTGTGGAAAGCCTGGTTATTCTCTTAAGAGCCACTTATCGCAGTGTGATCATAGGCCGCCCCTGTTGTAATGGATCGAGTTGGTAATGACTCGTTATTCAGTTTTCCATGTTCCATAGGATTGAACAATAGTTAACAACCCAAAAATAGGAGCATGACAAAAAAGCAACCACGCTGACGCCACGAAAAACATTACCATTTTGCAGCGGTTTCAATTAAAATTTACTCAGTGCTTGGTGAAATTGTGCAGTTTACCTGTGCGGTCGTATTCTTCTCGGGGTTCTTCGCAGTCCAAATCAGTATCATAATCACTGTCCTCCGCAGGTTCCCCATTTGAAAGTGCTTGTTCAACCTTAGATGAACCATCCGCTGGAGTAGGGACTGGTGTCAACCTGCTCTTCCCAGTACCCGCTCGCTTTGATTTTGCTGCAAAACAATAAAGTAGGAAAAATGCGCTATTACAGTTTTACTGGATACGAATTACTTCTTGTAACATTTTAATAATATTGGAACCGAGTTTCGTTTATTCACTGAATCCTTGCGCATTTCCTTAAAAAGCCGGGCCAAACTTATTTTTGGCATTAACTTAAAAAAGTATATTTTCAATGAACACAATTTGCTTATGTTTATGATTTTTGATTTTATGATTCAATCCATTGACCTTGTTTAAATAAGACCTCAATTTGTCACTTTACCAAAGTGCCTTCATCGTCTTGATTTTTAAGGCCTTTTATAGCTGTGGGGAGTTAGTAGTTTTGTTGCCTATGCAAATTTAGTAAAACTATACCGACCTAATTCTATCTTTCTAATTGCCTGAAACTAGGGATAAGTTCCAGCCCGAAGCATCCCTTTACCCGGCTTTACCTAGGCGCCCAAACATCAAAACCTGTTTGTCAAATAGCTTTATGTATTCTTAATCCATACGGATACTTTTTCTTCAGTTTTTTGTCTTCACTGAACAACAGAGCCACAGGGAGAGAAATTTGTATTCAATACTTACCACTCGAAGGTCGACTTTTTCCTGATTTTTGTCTGCTCTTGGAATCACCTTCTGTGATTATACCAGACTTGAGCTGAGTCGTTGAGCTGTCTATCCTGATATTCTCATTGGCATCTACGTCTTGCACATTGAACTCAGGCACGCTATGCGGACCTGGATTTGGTTTGTCAGCGTCGGCACTTTCAACAGACATTTTGCCAATCTACAGGAAGATTTACAAAGACTTTTAAATTTTTCTATTCTTAATTATCACTGTTTAATTGATTAATGTCGTTTTGGAGGGAGATTTTTTGTAGTTTTGCCTTGCCTTTTCTCGAATTTTAGTTATTACGATGGTTCCAAGAGACTATAAAGGGGACAGAGAGGGCATCCCCCATATACACCCTAATCCATAGGTAATTCGTCTCGAGTTATTTTTAACACCACAGATCTCAAGGGGGATAAGACAACAGCCAATCACATAGCGCGAATGTGTTCCGCGTGGATGACCCACGCTGAGAGCCACGCGTCCTTCACGAAATGACGCAGAACAAAATGGGGGAAGACGCGGAGAGCGATTTTGCTATTCCTTTTGTCGACGAAAACGACTACAGCGAGATTTCTGCGAAAGCTGTGTCAGCGAAACCGAAATTAAAAAAGAATCGCCCTTCCTCTCTTGTATAGAGCTAACAGTAGAGCAGGGAAATCCTTAACACACTGAATATTCTCTCAGGATCATTTATAATTTACAGTTTGAAGAGAGCAATTTCTGGTTTGATGTTTATTTTTTTCAGTCTTTATAGCGATTATTCCTACCCACTTACTTTGTCAATTGTAGGCGAACCCTCCTAAAGCTGAATTTCAAGGGACCATATTCAAGCTCAGAAAGAGAAATAAAATTTCGTCGTTGCTTATTTACGTCCTCCATAAAACGCGAAATTAGGCATTTTCACGTCGTAGTCGTGCAAAAACGGGAAAGAAATGAACAAAAAAGTGTGTTGCACGTGCGAAGTTGTTGTTTTGCTAATTAAACCTATTGTTTTTTTGACGTTCTAGTTGTCGTCCGCGTCGTTGGATCTTAAACTCCCTAAATTGTACAAACGACCGGTTTCAATAGACCGGCGAAATTTCTCATTTTATTAAAGCACTGAGGTTACGACAACTTCGAGTTAAACTGATTTCACGGGTTGTCAAAGAGTCCAGCGATTCCTTTTTCCCAGGTGAGCGCCGACTCATTTCGCTTCAATATTCAGGAATGCTCTCGATCTTTTTACGCTTTCATTGCCTCTCGCCCGACATGTTTTGCACGGCGTTTGGTCATGCGAAACCTCCACGAAACATCCACGCCTCGCGCGAGGTAACTTTATCCCGATTCTAAAAATAACTCGAGACGAATTACCTATGGAATAGGGTGTATATGGGGGATGCCCTCTCTGTCCCCTTTACAGTCTCTTGGATGGTTCGTAATCCAACGTTCAATGTTGCTGAATCAGAGAGCAACAGAGTCCAAAAGCATCGTGATTTGCTGCTATCGTACTCTCTCGCACTCTGCGTAAAAATCTACTAAGAGCATGAATGAGTGAACTGGGATTCAGGCGAAGATTTATAAAGTTTCTTAAGTATTCAGTTATTTTGTTTTGTAATTCCTAGTAAAAAGGAACTTCTGGACGCTTCAAAACAAAATTTCCATCTGCGGTCTGATGATTTCTAAAAGGAGTGTAATCTCTTTGGTTCGACATTTATTTTCCGTCTGTGTTGAGATGGAACGCCACTGACAGCTTTGATTGATTGGTCGCATTTTAAGCTAACTGACTAAATTCATTTTATATAAAAGAAAAAAAGTTCAAAAAGCACCCTTAAGGTATCAGTTTTTCCTGCCAAAAACCAAATTCAACGCCTGCGTCGGTCACTGAAGGAAACTGAAGTTTCGGAGATCAAATAAGACAAAGAAAAACCGCCTTAGAAACTTTGACTCATTTTCTGTTTTTAACCAAAACTGTCCAAAACTGAAAGAATTCCAGATGTTTTTAATTTGTTTCCTCGTGATAATTCTCATTGATATCGTGCACGATATGTTGTTGACTGGTATTACTAAGTGCAGGGGATCCATTTTAAGGAGGCATTAAGTCTGCCTTTTCACTACTTAACGGCAAATATACTTGACAGTAACCTGTCATAATCCTCGAATATCAAAAAGCCATTACCCAGCTAAGCGACATTTTTTTTCTTTTGTTTTTTTCTCTCTTTTTTTTTGTAAAAGATCCGACGAAATCCTGTAGTTGTCCCAGTTAAAGCAATCGAGTGACAGGATGCTTACCAAAATGACTGTTTCCTCCATTATTTCTTGGAATATATTGAAATGTGAAAGACTTTGTAGTTAACACAATAGATTGCCACCTGATACAGTGAGTGTTAATCTGGATGTCATTTCGAAACTAAAAACAATAAGATGCATCGCCTTTCATAATCGGCCGGATCACACAGCTGATTCTAATAATAATTATCCTACAAACTGATTTGAAATATTTTGTATTTTTGAACCAGATAAAGGACGCTCTTCATAACATCATAGATGCATTTATTATGTCGTGTCCTCTGTCGTAGTTGATTCAGTGTAAAAGAAAAGTTAGCAACTTTAGACAATTGTCTTTTCTTGAATATCATTTTCTATCTTTCTTATGTGTATTTTATGAATGAACGATTTTATTTCTTAGTAGTAATAACTTTTAACGTTTTATTTAATTGTAATTTTTGCACACGACCCCACAAGCCTGTAGCTTTGAATTAATATCGTGTATAAATAAAGGTTGTATGTATGTACGTATCATATGGTCGCCACGCATATTTTCGACGTACATTGTAAAAAATGGTTTCATTTCTGTTGTCATCCTCCATTGGTCTTCGAATGTCAATTTAGTAAGACGCCTACGGAAACCTTGTTTCTGTGTCAATTTAGTTGCCGTTTTAGTCCAACGACCTTTCCTAATAGATACACCAACTCTATCCAAACTTTCTTATTAACAAAAACAGACTGTAATTGGCATATACTCTAGAAACTAATTCCAACACTGAAATAAAAGGTTGACTTATTTTGAGTTTGATAACGATAAGTTTTTTATTTAGACTCCTTTCGGTTAACCCAATCAAGGAAAAACACAGTATTCAAATGGCCACTCACACTCCACCCCCGGTTAGTTTGATTCAAGGTGTGACGTTAATATAAGATGGCCCGCTGGCTAGGTTCGTACGAAGAAAGAAGACTTGAAATAGAATATTGCGCTGGAATAAGAAAAAAACCTGGATATATCCTAAAACTAAATGCTCATCATCCTTATTTTAACAAAGAATCGTCTGCTGAATAACTTCACTTCACTCTCGTGACTATTTTGCAGGTTTTTTTTCTTTGATTTTGCCACAAAACAAGAGCCGGCGAAAATTTGCGCGTGCTTTGGTCTTCAGAATTTGGTAAGGCCAAATCAGTTACGCTTCAGTCTAAAGTTTTTTTTTTCCGGTCAGCAAGTATGGAAATTAAACTGCTCTCAGCGTTAGAACTTTTGTAAAAACATGGATCGGTCGCCGAGCAATTTGCATTCATTTATTTCATGTTCTGTACCGTGGCTTGTCAGAGAACTTGTGCCACATTTCTTTCACTTTGTCATGACACATCTTGTAAAAACCCAGCCGCAGTATATAAAATGTAAACAAGCAGTTTACTAAGTTCACAACCAAATATATTATACCGAGAAGGAAACAAACGAACAAAGACTGTCTTAAGCAAATGACAAACAAATGATAATGACTCCCAGTGAAGCTAAATGAACAATGTGATATAAATGTTTTAAGCATTAACAAGATCAAACAAGCTTCTCTGAGACTTACCTTTTCCGCTAGGCTTTCAGTACCTTGCGTGCGATTAAGTTAATGTATAAAAGTTTTTGTGTTGACGTCTGCGAGTAAAATGGTGAATACATTGATCAATTTGCACCGTCAATCCACTTGAATGCAATAAGTTCAATAACTGTTGCTTAGCGACTCTAATGCTTTTTCCATAAATACTGATCAAGCCATTGTTTTTCGGTGTATCTCTTGAGAATTCACACTCAACTGTCGTAAAAGCGGAATTATATGGTATCTGTAATAGGAAATATTCTGACATTTAGCTTTGAAAGCTCCGCAATATCACAAATTGAGACGGCAATTATTGGTGAATACAATCAAGGAAATGATTTGCTTTTTCGATCAGCTTTACTGTTCATTGTTTTTACTCACTAACTACGATAGTTGATGTGCGTGTGAGTATTGTCTGCTTTCTGAATGGAAACTTTTATTGACAGTGGGACAACTCTAAATGTAATGTATTCTCACCCGAAACACCCGCACACAAAGCCAAATGAGCCTAAATGCATAAGATGTGGGAGAATCGGCCCGAGGCTTTGCGAGGCGGTGAACCAGGAGAGAATACGAGGTATGCTCCATCGCTGAGGGGAGGATGGTGGGGCGAGAACTGCTATAGAGGGTGCCGAGACCTATACTTTACTAGAACTGGCTGAATAATCAAGCTGCAGGCTGTCTTTAAACTTAAGGGACAAGGTCTGTGGGTATGCCGTGTGTTCTCCCGGGCCACGCTGAGAATGTTAGGAAGTGCATTGATGCTAATTTAAGCTTTTGTGCGTGTTTTCCCAGTGAGAATAACAGCCTCTTTTCAGTGCGCGCTATGCATCGTGATGCCGGATCGCGAGTTAGAACTCTGATCTAGTTCTCATATCCCACTGACCGTCTGGTGGTGTCTTGAACTCATCAGAAATTTTCTTCTTGTCGAAAAGGGGCGCTTTATCACCAAGAGCTAAGTTAATATCTATATCGTGGATTCTTTAGCAGCCGGAGCAAACAGAGAACTGAGTAGCACCATTTTGGAGCCACTTGATTACTCGTGTTCTGGAGTTGCTCTGAGCTACATGCAGGGTGTCAACAATGTTGGGAGTTGTTGCGGCAGTGTTGGCAGCAGTGGTATACAAACGGATACAACTGAAGCTCCCAACAATGTTGGGACCTGAATTAGCAGATTTCAGCCGGAGCTCTCGTGGTCTCGTAAGCGACCACCTGGGGAATCCAAAAAAGTCTAGTCGCAACAGTACAGTCTGCCGTTTACGAGAATGGGCTCTCGTAAGCTACCATGCACGTGAAAAACAATAGAGTGGTAGAAAGCTAGGCATACATAGGCCATGCGCTGTTGGTTATCCGTAGGGAGTTTAAGCGACGACGACGGCGACGGCAACGAGAACGGCAAAAAAGCAGTGGGTTTGGATTGGTAAACCAACAACACACTTTTTTGTACATTCTTAAGCCGTCGTTGCACGACTACAAGGTGAAAGTGTCTAATTTCACTCAAGACAACAACTTTCCTTTTCCTTTCCTGAACTTTAATACAGTCCTTTAGAATTCAACTCCAAAAAATTTGCCAACGTTTGACGAGGAATTAAACTAGATGGAACAAGCGCGATAAAGTTTGAGGCAGCGCTAATTCACTTTTTAAGTGACGTTTTCGTAGTTGTCTCCTTCGTTGTCGCTTAAGCTCCGTAATAATAATAATAATACCGAATAACTTCAGCAGCATTGAGAATGGACACAGCTTCAGTCGACTATAGAAAGTTAAGGAATTATTACTGAGCTCGCATATATCGGGGTCTTTTACCGTCTTGAGAAGTTGCCCAGCCGATCCCCTCTTTCTCAAGGAAACCCACTTCCGATTAAGCCGATAATTTCTTAACACCAATTAAATCCTATTTTGAAGCATGTACAGACTATAGGTACACCAGCTATTAAAGTCAAGGTTAAGTACAAATGTACAATTTGATCCGTCAGTAGTGAATCTATTGTAAATATGTATCTAAATTTAGCTGATCCTTTCATTGGATTTTACTTTTAAGCTGTTGAGTCAAGGCCAACCGGGCGAGAGAGGACACTCACAGTTTGAAAATGGTAAAGATAACCACGTACTATAGCTGGCAAGTGCCTTTATACTTTTCTTGTATTCACAACAAGTACGTACATGAACCCGCCGCATTTGCTTTGTAATTACTTTTCTAAAAATGCTTATTGCTTTCCCTTATTTTATCGGTAGCTAGCTAAATTATTAAAAGGCTAAGTAATAAAGAGAAAAATAATCAATGCTAAAAGAAGCGACTTAAGCTATAAAAATCCATTATTGCTGCCAAATCCGTTATTCTATCTCGGAAAAAACTAATCAACAGAGCTACCACTTATTTTATGCTAATGGCCAAAAAAGTACATTCAACTCATGGAAAAAGGTTACGTAATACAAAACAAACAAAATACTGAAAGGGAACACAGAAGCACACAATCGCATAACTAACAAAAATTTAATGTTTCGCGAGCAGTGGCTCAAGATTTCTCGCAAAATCTTAAATTTTTGAAAACTTACTTTTATTGGGAAAGAAAGCGGCTAATTTGATCTTCTTTGTGTTAACAGCAACTTTTTAAATGACTCAGAGACACGCACTTCCGGTAGCCTACCAGAAGTGTGTGTTTCGATATTTTATTGGACCAAATCTGGCTAAGTTTCAAGAGGCACTCTAACCATCTCTGCAATCTAAATTACGTTGAAATGTAACAGAAGGCTTATGTCGGATTAAAAATCAAATTTCTAATCTAATTTTTTCCCTTCTTTTATTTTCTTCAGAAGTAAAAAACGCAACAAAATGAACAGACATCTATTAACACCTCGGTTATCACAAGCTGTGTACTGTTAACCTCTACTATAGATGTTAACAAACCCACTGGTTTAATAACCCTTAAGCATGGAATTTTGGTGGGGGTGTGCCGCCCGGTTCTCCAAATCCTGACCTTATTTCAAAACAAAAAAAATCATTTTCCACTCTCGTTTTCAGATCTAACTCCTAAAATCCACTGGTACTAGTTTTCAGACCTGGCCTCTTTCATCATAACTTAGATTAGAACGCCAAAAAAGATTTCTCAAAATACATTTCCAATTCGCATATTACTCTTTCTTTCTCATTCATTTGGAATTAAATACTTATATACACTCTCGTAGTTCCCTCGAAACCACGCCTGATTCCAGACCAAAATAAGCAGATTCTATACACGTTTTCAGACCAAAACGGGGGGAAAACCATACCTTTTGGGGAGGCACATACCTATATGGCTTATATCAGAGGGAGTAACCCCTCCACCAAATCCCCCACCCCACCCCCCGGCCCCTAAAAGGTCTCAAAACTCAATCGTTTCTTTTCGCACACATTACCGCACATTTCCTTGCAAGATAACATCTCATCAAGCGATCGGAACGAAGAACCGTGAAAACGGCAGGGTTCTTTGGCGAACGGAAGTAAAGCGGCTGAACTGGAATAGCTTGGAATATAGCGGGATGTATTCTATAAAAGACTCATTTCCTCTAGAGAAAAATCGCATAGCAGTAAAACCTCAAAATGTCGCTAAAAACACATACAATGACGTCTTTATACATATGATAAGTCTAGTCACTTCTGCGTATCAACACTGGCAAAAAGATGATATTTAATAGGACTGATAAAATTTTAACGAAATTAACGCCTTTTTTTCTTCTTCCTGTTTATTCTACTCCAGTTCCTAACTCCAGATTATAATCTATTTGTTTACTTTCAATTTTTTTTCCTTGGGATTTAAAATAAAATTTTCTCGCATCCGATTCCATGATAGAAATTCGCCGAAAATCCCTGTTTTGTATGATTACTTTATAGTTTTTAGTAAAGCGTTTGAAAGCCGGTTTTCCTCAGGTCTAGCTTCGTCCATGGTTTTTGTTGGACCGCTGAAAAACGTTTAATTGTTTCTGTTTGTAATACATAGTCATCGCATACATTGTCCACTGAAAAAAAAAATTGATGTTTGGTTTTACGACCTTTTACGGTACGGAAATATTTTACATGTTTGTAATTTCATTAGCACTCGACTCACTCGGCAGATTTCCGAGGACAGGCTTCATATCATGACGATACATATGGAAAATGAAGTCTTGTTATATTGGCAGCAGAGTTGAGTCGTGACCTTCTAAAATATTGTCCAAATTCTGTTCTCAATCAATTTTTTTACATGTCATGAATTTTAATCAAAAAGGTCGTTTGCCAATTTATTTGTTGCGGTAGGTTTGATGAAAGACTTCAAAATCAGAAAAATACATAATGTAATTGTATTTAGTTGTAAATTACATGGTTTTACTAAGTCACGAAACGCAAAAATAAATAAACAGTTATGAAACTCTGACTTACACTGTGCTCATTTGACAAAATTGGAATATTATTGAATAACACATCTCATGGCCCTTTTTCCTGCAACCGTCGGATCCAAAGTAGCCGACAAAAGTCAGTTCATTCTCAAATATTATTAAAAACACCAGTTACAAATTCCTTCTGCTAGGACTGAATATCTACAATTAGTGTTAATCTACACACACGTTTAAACATGTGATTCATGTTTAAATATCATTAAGTAGATAGGCTTTCACTCGACACGACAGGCAGCTACGAAGGCCGGAGTAACGATGTCTTCAAAGCCAAAAGCCACCTTGCACGAAATAACCATGTCACAGTCGAGGACTGAATTTGAGATGTTGTTTGATATTCATGCGTACTTTAAGAAAAATCGGGTCTGTCTATATGTTGTAGTTCTTTTACTAAAAGCCATTTAATTAATTACTCAGTGAATTCATAGTGGTTAAGTGCTCGTGTCAGCAATTAAACACAACTTCACTGATAATCGATAACCGTATTTGAGTATCTTCATACATTATCTTCAGTTCACTCAAGAATGTAAACTTCCCTCAATCATAGTTGGCCATTCCACTCCTTACAGAGATATAAGCCAGTTCTGAAGTTGCCCACTCCTCTATCGGCTAACATGTTCCTTCTCTTTCGAATTTCCTCGAAATAGTTTGACGCAAAGTTCACCAGATCTTTCTGCTCAGGTCTTTCATTTATTGCAGTAATGGTGAAGCCTTCCATGAGGCAAATTAAATCCTCTGTTATGCAAACACGGCGAGTTAATTTCGACGACAACTTTCTGTCTTGTGGAGCAATCTTTTGATGCATGGCTCTGGCAATAAAAACGTTGGTCAAGCTTCTTCTCTTGGTCTGAACGATTTCACACTCGAACTATGCGGATGATTGTTCAATTTTAATTAATTTGCCGTGACTATATCGTGCAATATCACGAGCCAGAAGATGTGTGCTATATCGTGTTCATTTAGTATTTTATCACGGAAAGTAAAATCAGTCTCCCTCACGCGATGATTTTGTGGAATAACATGCAATAAGCCGAAACACGTTGTTAAAAATAAAACGGCCGTCACGACAATTGCCAATGTATGATTCCGCCAATGGTGAGGTAGCCGGAGATACCTATCTGTCATATTGCCCGGTTTGGTTGGCCAACAAGATGCCTGAACCACAACGCGCGATCCCTGCTAAGACAAGTAATTGGATTTGTGCGACGGATTATAACGGATAAGATAGTCATGCTTCATTCGTTTTAAAAAGTGCCTCGCTGCACTCACGCTGAATGCGTTTAAAAAGCTTTTATCGGATAAAACCATACAATAAGTGGATAGCTCAAAGCCATTTGACTTAGAAGTCTCTGCCATAATGCTACATAATCAACCCGATTTCAGAAATTTAGCGAAAGGAAATTTAGCTATTCTGTCAGATAGTAATCCCACACAGAATTATTGTTTTTCCACCCAAACTCGGTGAGGCGCGAAATAACTAAGCGACTTTTATAAACCCCTACAAATTGGACCCTGCTGTGCTGTGCCAAATGTTTCCGTCTGGAAAATTAAAACCAAACTCGCCACAAATTGGCTAAAGAGGACGGCGAGAAGAGAGAGCCTGGGAAGGAGATTGAATTAAATAGCCAATCAAAATCACTGTAAATCTTTGGAAATGTTATCAGAATCAAAGGGAAAGAGTTCAGTAATGACTCAATGGTCATTAACGTAAACGAATTACACTCGCTCGAATACTTACGAAGTGGTGTGGCTCGCCAAGTTGTTGCAAATACATATCAATCCTACTGACTGTTCCAGTAGAAGTTCATGCGGGATGTTGCTCTTTGTGTATTTGTCGGCTCAGCTTTCGGCACTGGATCTAATTATTCATTTATCTGTTATATCTAACTTCTCCACCTTTCTTGTTCACCCGACTCTCCACCCCTGGGTCTCCCGGCGAGAATGGGAGCTTTCTCGCCCGTTCTTGAAAACTGAGTTTCGTTGCCGTTTTTCTCAACCTTACTGACCACCGCCGCTGGGTCGTCGAGGACATGTGGCTCACTGAAAAATCAGTCAGGAAATTACTACCGTTAAGGAGCAGTGGGAGTTTAACCAGTTTACACCCCAAACCAGCAAGTTCTCCTTTATTCGACATGCCAATTTTTTAGTGTTTCTAGGTTTTGCGGAAACTGTTTGGTAGCGATCAACTCATCGTGATATCGCTAACAAGATTAAGCATGGGTGATTAAACTAATCAAGAAAAGAAGCAATTCAATCTTTCTAGTTTCATTAAAAACCTTAATTCTTGCCTGTTTTGTAGTCATTAGACATGGAGATGCTCACTTTTCGACTGTCTACTTTCTACATAATGTATTTCATTAACTGAACCTTTATCTTTATCTTAGTTCAATCATACTCTACTTTTACTTTATGTATCAGTACTTTCACATTCTTGCTGTAGTACTTTAACATCAGCTGGTAGTTTCACTGTTTTTAGTAATAGTACATAATTGTTACTTTGGTAATCAATACACTAGATCGCCCTCAGTGCAGATAATTCTTAAACGAGTTGTAAGGAGCGCTTGTAATTTCATGTTCAGGATTATTTGCAAGATAAAACGTGTTTTTTTTTTCCTGACACCGTGCCGAGAAAAAGGCCAAAGTTCAGTTGAATAAAGTCTTCTTCAGATGCAAGCAGAAATAATTTGAATGAATAATAAAACAAATATCGAATTCGGCTGTCGTATTATGTGAAGAGCTGTGCAAATTTTGGAGGAAGTTATCCACCAAGGCTGGATAACATCCTCCTCAATCTGCATAATTCTTCACATCCTACTCAGCCTTATTCCGATTGCTAAATATTCTGGAACATCAGTATTTACATAAGGATCCACCCCAACCTTAATTTTACAATGACGGAGTGAATTCTCGCGTGCTAATTGGTCGAGAGAAATGGGAAATCGGTTGGAGAAGCGACAAACGAAAACACGTCTAAGTAAGCAGGTTAGGCTTGTCCCCGAATTCCCTACACTGATTTAGGCACTCTTCAAACAATTTCTTTTTTATTATTGTTTTCATTTATTTATTTGTTTATTTTTTCGAGTCTTTTTCATTACGGGAACTAAAATGACTATCGAAATGTCGTGGCACGTGCAGGTAAGCTGTCCCAGCCAAAATCTACAGTCTGTACGACGTGAGCATCGTGAGTAGATACACTGAATGCACTGTCGCACCCGGGTAAGGTAGTCCTGGGGCGAGAAGTTGTCATGCGCGTGCATATAAGCGTGGAATCGCGTGGAACCCTTTTTGCGTGCGCGCAAACGAATTACATGACATCATATATGACTTGATTGATTGTCCGGAAAGAATTATCTGGTTTTTTCTATCACGGTCTTTTGATTCTTCCAGAAAGATCCAGTCATATGTCTGTGCCTGTATCTTCCGACTCGTCAAAAAGAAAGATTCCACCTGGTCTGGTGGAGTTGCTAGAGGGGTTTGTGTTAGTGGTTCTTCGAGACAAACCAGAAGATTTGGTGCAGTATGCTTCGCAGTATTTTTCATCAGCCCAGACGAGAAAGAACTCCCTGAAAGAACATGGAGCTAGCGTGGAGGAGCTTGGAGTGGACTTTTTTACGGCCACAAACTGGAACGGACTTGTTTGACTGTCAAAGGGTTTACAGGTCACTCTTAAAGACAGCGGCAGCCTATATGAAAATCTCTGGTGTGATAGCTGTGAACTGTACAATCATGTGTTGTGCCGGCTTGCAGTGACGATTAGCGCAAGAAAAGACTGTTATCCCTTTTGATAGAAGGAAAAGAAATTTGAGTCGCGCTTTCCCTTTTGAAACCTTGTTTGATTTGAGAACAAGCTGACACTTATATCAGTCTAAGAGCTAGAAAGTAGTAAATGTTACTGCCAGTTTTGAGACATGCAAGAGCCAGTTTTTCAGTTCTTCCTAGAAATTTTTATTAAAACCTCCCGAGATGAAACAGATTTCTGGTTCAAGTGATTACTGTTCTTTCCAACAATAATACAAGTATGAGGTAGGGGAATCGAGTGTGAGGCATAAGAGCTTCGCCTCGCTGAGAATTACATGCATGGGATACTGGCCGTTTCGATATAAAAACTGCATACAAACGAATGAATGAATGATAACTTTATTTAAACACGGTTAAAAACATCAGTCTAAGATAGAAAATTAATTAAAAATTCTCAAAAACTGTTTTACATATTTGCCGTGTGGGAGTACTGATCAGAAAACCATCTATGGGAACTTCTCTTAAAGAAACCTAAGGAATTTGATGTACGTATTTCCTGAGGAAGATTGTTCCATAGAAGAGCGCCACTGTAACAGAAGCTACGCTTCAGGTAATCAGTTCTTGGTTTTGGGAGCATTAATTTTTTCTTCGTGTTGCGAAAATAGTAATTCTGGGTTCTTGAGGCAAACAAATTACAGAGATAAGCTGGGGCGAGATTATTGATGCACTAACTTCAGCAGTTAGGGCGTGAACAATAAAAAACAGATGGCGTTAACATTCCTCGTTCTGTAGGACAACTATGCGACACTGCTTAAGTAAGCTGTGTCCAGGGTGAGGACAAGGGTAATACAAGAAATTTCAGCACAATAGTTGTCGATTAGACTGCAAAACAGTTCGTACTTCTGCGTATTCAAGTACACGCGAACAGTCAAACAAAAGGCCTGGAGTGAGGTTTAAAACGGAGAGCAAAGTCTAGTTATCAATAGTCCCTCCCTAAGATAGTCTGCAACACAACCGTTTTTAGTGTCGTCACGCAACGCTCCTCTTCCTCCTGTGTAGCATACTATCCCTAAGAGAGCTTAATTCGGGGGATGCTTGTGGCAGGGTGACGGGGCCCAATACTTTTCTGTCCCTTCACTTTCTACAGCCCCCGATATGAGAGTGAGCGTATTGTTTTGCCGAAATATTGAGCAATAAAGTTACCCTATCAGTCCTGCATTTGGTTTTAGGCCGATCTCGAACAGTGACCGTAATTGACCAGTCATGTTCGACAGCGACTAACAAATGAAGGAGAGTCAACTATGCGCCCATAAAAATCCCAAGCAAGCTCTGCGCTTGAGAATCTCAAGAGGTGAAAACTCACGCATCAGCGACAAGAAAAGCGGGAGATAGCTCACTCAGCTCGCTTGCACGTGACTTACGACTCACGTGATCTTTAAACATTTAGCTTGTTGGCAGGTTAAAGGTTTCCCAAATACATGCCCGAGCAAGCGACCTACTTAGTAATAGTTTGCAACTCAAAAACAGTCACATGTCACTTGGCAAAGAAACTCAAAAGGTCTGAAACAAGGCCAATTTCAATCGCTCGCAAATAAGGACAAAACATCGACGAGAACTTCACATTGAACTCTGCTGCTTTATTGATTTATTGTAGTTGAACTCAACACAGCATTATTTTCCTTCCCTCTTCTTGCTGAGGACAGCCTCCTTAGCAGCCCTCCTCCTCTCTACCGTCAGCATCTCAGCTCGCTTGACAGTCTTAGCATGAGGGTTCAGCTTCATCATGATGCCAATATTCTTCAGAGGATTCTTCTTACGGATTGCTCGGCGGGTCTTTGATGGTCTGGTGGAAAAGCAGCAACAATAACAGAGAAATTTAGAGTCACATTTACGGCAAACGGCAAACGTGAATTTGTAGCACCTGACCACGACTTCCCTTAACTGCTGCTTAACTATTCATTACTTCTACCCTAAAATTACAAGCCTGCATCGCTGACAGTCTTAATCGTAACTATAACAAAATTCCCAAATCTGATTGGCTATAAACTGTCCTGATTTCAGCACCAATAGGGCAGTGTAATAGGACAGTACGCGTCGTGCTTAAGAAATTGGACAGTACGAAACCTCGCATGCGCGTACTTATAAAATGGCGTTTTTTTTCACTGCACGCAAGAAAACTCTTGGAATTTCTTGTGTTTTTTATTTCAAAAGGGCTAAAACATCACAAATTTTGTTATAGTTATGATTAATTGGTAACAGAACTTCGTTTCGTCCAATTCTGTCTGTAATCATACTCGTGATTAAACAGTCCGAATTGGACTCCACTTAGTGTTATAACCATTATAAATCCATGATATAGACATCAAGTTCTCTATCTAGCAGCTTCACATTAGTTTTGTCTATAACAATTGTTTGCGACTATTTTTAGCAGCACGTTTTGTATTTTGACAAATTCTCAACTTGAATCTGTCGTTTCAGTTTGTCGTCTGCTGCAACATGTCACTCTAAATCTTTATTACTGTATTCTCAGTTTGAAATCACGGTGGTGATTGGTGGTCAATACATTTTTTTTTGCAATAAAATACAGTTCAGTTCCCAGCAGAGAGAATTCTTTTTCGTTCAACAGAAAACAGAAAACGTTACAGATATTAATCCAGCTCTATACACAAAATGCAAAGACGGCTTCCACGTTTATTGAAAAGCAGAACAATGTTTCTCACTTTGCCTTTCTTGTATCTCAGATTAATGCTCTTCAATAGGATTTCCTTTTGCACCAAGCTATTCAGCTCACCCCTCCCCCAACTCTTGCAAAAAGTACACTGTACAAGACATAGAACAGTTCAAATGCTTGAGTGCAGTGTGTAACGTTTGCCAATCAAATGCTTTAGGTTTTAAGTGAAGTAAATGTACTTTACATTTAAAGAATTAAAGAAAAAAGGGCAAATCATGAGCGGCAATTTTGCATCAGTCTCTAAAGGTTAGAGTACTCGACTACTTTGTGTCAGATTGACAGATTTACTTTTGCACGTTAAATAAATTAAAACTTGCTATTACTAATAAAAATAATATGATAAGAAATGGACCCTTTCTTACCCAGCGGGTCTGAGGACAGCTTGTATTTCCTCACTGTTGATAATACGATTGAGGTCTGCATTGCTCATGACTGGTTGTGGGAGACTGTAAAAAGAAAAAATAAGCAAAACATGGTTAACATCCTCACCCTATGGGTAAAGGGATTGCCACGTATAGCCTCTACAAATATATCCAAATCTTTGTTTACATTTTTCACTCATTAGCATATTCCTTTCATTCTCTGATCAAGCTGTTAAAATACACTTTCCGAATATCAAGAGAGCATAACAACTTCAGTTATTTGTGAAAATTTGAGCCTGATATACCAAATCGTTCAAGGAGGAATTATCTTCGAAAAACTCAAAACCTTACAAAGAATGTATGGACTCAATTGATTTTTGCAGCTTTTGATGGCTGCTATTTCCTTTGATATTGCATGCAAAGAGCTGACACTTGCCTAAATTAACCAACACTTTCAACTTTTGAATTCAATTTGTGCATGTGGTGATGTCTTCTATTGGTTTACTCATATGTGCCTGTATGCACCCATTAAAACCATAGCTGATTTCACAAGTCAACTGTCATCACATACAGACAAAAGATGCATCAACTTACTTGAAATCTTTCTTTTCAGTGGATGGTTTCTTTCCAGTTCCATATAAGGAATCAAGTTTCTCAATAGCCCCCTTACTCCAGATACACAACCTATAGAACACAAACAAGCACAACAACTGTGTTGTATACAAGTATGTAATGTTCTTACAATGCTGAAAAGCGCTTTATACAAATGCTCATGCCAGAAAAGGAAAGAAATTGTATGCTGTCCCACGATCTACTAAAACTTTATTTCAAGCCACCATCAATGAGCTAACAAAAACACATTTTCTCAATAACCAAAGAATGACCCTTGCTGTGAACACTACAAGGATACAGGAATACCCTAAACTAAGAGTATGCTGTACCTTTGACTAACCTCATGGACAAGAAGATACAATAATTGTACTTTCTATTCACTTGCTTCCCTTAGTATTGATTGCTACAAGTAGGCTCTTTGCCATTACAGGTGAGTTACAACAAAGAAAATAACTGAATGCTTCCCTTGTTTGTTCAGTTAAAGCACAAGAAAGAAAGCCAATTCGTTGCATTTAAGTCTAGCACTTTGGCAAAATGCATAAACTGCTTCAACAGAGGTCATTCACAGAAATTTGGATTTTAAAGCCATTAGACCATAGGAGAATAGAACCCATAAATCAATATCAAATAACAAGCACATAGAATAAACATACAGTTTGTCCTTATTACCTTCCCATATGACCACCAGGACAAAGCTTGAGAAGATTCAGACGATCCACAGAAAGAATATCAACTCCTGGTAAATTACGGAAGGCTTTTCTCACACCATGATCCTCGTTGTAGATAACAAGGGGGCCTTTGCGCATCACAGTCCTACGGTTACGCATCTTACCCTAATATAAAAGTTTAAACAAGCATGGTATGTAAAATATGTATAGGTAAGGCACACAGCATGATTACATACCAAAATTAACACTGACTTATAACCCAAATTTTCAGATTTTCTGCATAAAGCTTCAAGAAGCTAAATAAACCTTATTTGCTGGTATGCTTTGGTATTGGAGATCATGTGACAATACTTATGAGATTAGGGGCCCGTTTCTCGAAAGTCCCGGTAACTTTACGGGTCCGAAATCAAAAATTCAAATCGAAATATAAAGAATAAGAGCGCGGGTCCTGGCTAAACTACTCCATTTAGTTTCATTAACTGACAGTTTTATCATGTTAGATGCAAAACTATTGAAACCTCGATCTTTAATGTAAACGGAGACAGCTTACCGGGCCCGTTAATTATCGGGACTTTCGAGAAACGGGCCCCTGCACCTTTATCTTGCTGGAAATAAAGAGTGTTTTTTAGCAACATAGGTCCAATTTTGGTGCTCTGAAACTGTAAAATCTAGGGTGCCCAGCATGTGATTTGTATGAAAAATCTGAGATTTTCTAGTCGCCTGAGGGTAAAAGTTAGGCCCCAAGGGCCACCGGGCTCTGCTAGAGCACAGCCCTGAATACCTCTGTAAGAAAGCCAATGAAACCAGAAGGAAAAAAAGCCCACAGCCTCAAAAGAGCTTTGGGGATTTGCCAAACACAAAGATATTGATCATCAAATCAAGATACAAACGTTTCAAAGCAAAATTTACCTATACAGTCTCACCTCTCCTTTTCATACCCCTCTATATTACGGATATTTCTCTTCATCCCACAGGGCTTGAAAAATCCTTATATTCCAGCTTGTCCTTTAAACAATTAGCTCCCACAGTTTTGTTTGCCGTGACCTTTGCTTTGCTTAATGATTTCTTGGACCAATGGAGAAAGGAGCTTATAAAGTTACTTGCCCAGTAAAAAAATCTGTTTGTCCGCGATGACCAGACAGGACTTTTTTCACGCCCTGTCCCAGAGTTGAGAAACTTCATACAGTAGCTACCTCTATATTATAGACAGCTTTGCAAAGCTGACACTTAGCCCTGTCCCTTTGGTGTCGTATCAAGGAGGCTTGACTATATACCACTCCCAAACTTACCTTGCCTGCACGGATTTTCTTAGAATCCTTGCACTTTTCAACATCCCCATATGCATTGACAGCTTTTAGCAGCTTAACAGCGGCACTTGTCTTCTGCAGGGACTCAATGCTGTCAGAGACAACCAATGGTACCTCAGGTATTTCATCCACACGGTGACCTCGTGCCATTACCAGTGCAGGGAGAGCAGAGGCAGCTAGTGCTGAGCACATAGCATAGCGACGCTGTTTCTGGTTGATCTTGCGATGCCAGCGGCGCCAGGTTTTTGTAGGTGCAAACATACGGCCACCTCGGCACATCTTGTTTAAAAATTAAGGATGCTACCTCAAATATAATATGGCTCAGCTAACACAGTGATAATTAAACTGAGCAAAAAATGTGGCCACCTTGTTCACTCAAACAGTTAAAATAAATTGAGGACAATTTGCTAACTTTGCTTTCACAGAGGAAAATGGTCAGAAATTCCGGTCTCCTTAAAACTTTAATACAGTAAGAGATTTTTCAAGTCTACTCCCCCAATTTTCAGTTAACAAAATTTCAACCGGTGATGCAATCATTTCAATCAGTCACTTATGAATAATAAATTATAACAAGCATTCAAACAAAACAACCAGTGCAGAAACTAACCCGTCAACTTTCAAATCTTACTAAAGAATACACCCTTTCTATACGGTCCACATTTGAGAGCATATGATTGTAGTCGTCTCTGTCATAATGAAAACATCCATAAGAGATTCAACACTCCCCAAAATTGGACACCAAGAGTTCCAGGCCCTTGTTTAGTCTTTTCCTTTGCCTAACTTAAAGACTTCCATCTCTCTAAGACAGACATTTAGTGCCTGTGGCAATACATTCCCTTTCAGAAAAAGTTATAACACTCAGCAGCAAAAAGAAGATGTTTAGAAAGCATGAAATAAAATGTTAACACTAAACCCTTTAAATCCCAATAGTGACAAGAGAAAAGGTTTCGACAATTAATAAAATGATCACTTAAGGGAAATGCCTTGATCCTTTATCGAACTGTCTCCACTAATGCTGAAGGAAATGTATAGAGATGTCTGGTGAATTTTTATGTGGATTGGGGATTGAACAGTTAAAGAAAACTTTAATCAGAAAGATACATTGCCAAAAGCACCCTGACCAGATCGATGGGTTCCACCACCTCTAACACGAGGAATCCTAGCGACGGCACGGCCTGTACCCCAGGACTCTGCAGAGGTCTGGTGGCCAGCATTAACATTTACAGCATATGCCTGTCGCTTGTTCTTGGCCATATTGGTGTGAACAAAGCTGACTACATCAGGACGAATGGGAGCCTTGAAGACAGCTGGAAGTGTGGTCTGTCCAGCATTTTCTCCAGCTTCATCATAGATTGTTATCAAAGGTCGAGCCGCCTTGTAAGCGATAACACAATAATCAGTGAAACAAATTTATAATGAATGTGGAGGGAACAAAATGGTTACATCAAAATGCACGGAAATAGGTGATTACAGTTAAGTGCTGATATAGTTAATGTTCTTTTAGTGGACACTTTTATTAGATGGAGATCACACTTAGAGTTGGTCCCTGCCTTCTGTACTCCTTTTCGCCCATTCTCAATAAGATGAACATCACTTTAAGACATACACAAAGTGCTAGTCCCAAAGATGTCTCTCTGAAGAGAGTTGAAACCTGTACTTGAATTTTTAAAACAAAAGGAGCTGGAGACGTGTAAATAATCCGAGACTTTGAAGTGTTTTTTTCCCATGAGGTCATTTACTTTTACTGCCCCATTTCTACACCAGACAACTTCAACCTCACAAATGTTAAATGCATTTAGATAAAATTAATAGCTAAATTTAACCGAGCAAATATCGATAAAGAGTCTTGGGAAAAGTTCGATGTAAAATCACGTTGTGAAATCACCGTGAAATGGTTCTCTGAAACTACGGAAAATTGTGACCAAATCTAAACCCTTATTACTCTCAGATTTTACATGGTTACAGCTTGATATTTATTCCTTTCAAAAGATTAATCACCTCTTTGCTAAACCGACCATAAAGTACTAAAAATTTTCAAATTATTCCCTTTCACCTACCATTTTATCGCAAATTCAAGATGGCCGGCAAAAAGAGGAAGAATGTAACACGTGTGTAGGAATAATAGGGGAGGCCCAGCAAGAGCGAAAGGGCGAGAACTGGTGCCTAGTCCAGTTGCAGGAGGCGGGGAGGGGGACCGAAGGGTTCGGCCAGAGCGGGGAATTGAGCGGGGGAGGTAGCTTTTGCATCAGGAACGCGTGACCAAAGCCCCAAGGAGGCTAGGGTTGGGGACGCAGAATCGGGAGGAGCAAACACATAAAATTCAGAAAAATGTCTATTCGCTACTTTTGTTTGAGTCCATTAGGCAGGTGATTAGGAGTCAACTTTGCGTCTCAGTGGTAGATGATGAATTTCAATACATTAAAAGGGCTCTTCAAAGGAACATGCATGATACAAATCAGGAGCCAATAAAAACCTCCAGAAACCAACCACCGTGAAGTTTTCACGTTAATTTTAATTAAAACTAAAAAAAAACTACCACTAAAGCTGTTCTAAGATAAAAAGCCAGCCGCGAACACTTTAAGGCTGATAACTAGGCAGTATTAAATCTTCTCAAAACATATCAAAAAGTAAGAGTACACTTTTGCGATTCGTTGATCAATTATCACAGTTCAAGAGCAGTCCTAACAAAACCGGCCTTGGCGGGATTATTTGAAAAACGAGGCTTAATTGACGAAATAACGTCGCTTAGCAAAAACGCTTTGGAAGATTCGATCAGAAACCGAGCCACAGAAAACCACTCAGATGATACATATCTATTTCTTCTGCTCTGATACTGATCGGACTAAAGGAGCTTTACCGTCCGCTAACGAAGCATCACTTGTAAACAACAGTGTAAACGCATAAAGCAAATGCAGCCATATTGATTAGCACTCGTACGATATGAGCTCTTGCCCACTTGACTACACGATCAACCACATACGCGTGTTCCTTCTTAGAGCAGGTATCTTCATCAAGTATGGGATCAATGAAGAAAGGCTTCAAAACCAGCAAGGTATATGGCATGTTGAACAGAACTAACCCAGCAACGATCAACCAAGGAAGACCGCGAGTGGCGTCTAGATAATACGCTACAACACCAGCAGTCTGAGGAAACATGGATAGGGCCATCATGAGTTTTGCTGTTCGATGAAAACTTGTCAGCCATTGGCGATGAATAGCGACGGGGTCCTTCATGGTCATTCGTGATGGCTGCTCTACAGCAATTACATAAAGTGCTATTCCCGTCAGTATGCCACAGGTGAAGGTGGTGATGAATTCGATCATTGGAAAAATCTTCTGCGGAGTCAAACTGGTCATTTTGAAAGAGTGTTAGCAGTGCTCTATCAAGCTACGGATCACAGTGACGACGTTGCTTTTGAGTCGAAGGGGCGAGAGTTTTATACGCTGTTTTAATTTGGCAAGGGACGCGGGTAAATAACAAACAAACACACCCATGCTGATTTTGCGTGACTATATGAATGCACAGCGTCAGGAGTAATTTGTCAACAAGGCCCCACAGGCAGGTTACCGGGGAGCGTGATGCAGCGTTATAAATTTATGCATTTACTCTTATCCCTCAATTATGACACCTTATTATTTTGGAAGAAACCTAGTTTTGGCCTTGTTCCAAAGACGATTTGATTAGAGCTCCTCATCGAGAAAAAATTTGCGATGCTTGGTATTTAGTTGAATTGTTCTTTCTTTTGATCGTAAATCTTTATAACTTTTCTTTTTTTTTTTTTTTAATTTTAGTTTTATTAGCTTGTGTACAGCCGCGGCTCCCTCCCTCCCCTCCTTCTATTTTTTCTTTGGGGAGGGGGCGGCTGTTTCGGAAAGTTTTTCTCACATTTTTTAGTTAATTATGATTTTTTTTAAATTATAAAAAAAACTTATTAGTGAATTGAGATCCTGTGTGGCGTGTTTTCGCTAGTAAACAACCGCCTATGTTTGAAAGGGGTGTGGGTGGTGGTTTTTTTCAATTATAATTTTTTTTACTTTCCTTATCAATAATATATTTTGTTTTTTTTGTTTTTTGTGGAATTTTTTTTTTTTTTTTTTTTAAATTTTTTTAATTTTTCTTTTTTTTTTTTTTAATCTTCGTTTTATTAGCCTGTGTACAGCCGCCGCTCCCTCCCTCCCCTTCTTCGATTTTTTCTGAGGGGAGGGGGCGGCTGTATAGGCTACGTTTTCTGAAATTTTTAAAATAATTATAATCTTGCATAAATTAAAAAAATATATTCAAGGTCAGCTGAGGCCCTGAGGTGCGGTGTTTGCTTGTTGTGAGTTTGATCAACCCAGCCGTTCTGGAAAGAAAAATGGACGCTGAAGACGCTCTCAAGCTCATAAAATTCGCCTCGACAATCGCCACTGGTGTTATCGCTGGAGGGGCGATTTATATCAACGTCGTTGAACATCCAGCAAGAATGGAACTGGACGATGCACAATCTTTGCATCGACAATGGCGGGAGAGCTTCGACCGAGCCAAGTTTCTTATGGCGGGTACCTCGTTGCTTCCGATAGCCGGCGGAATTGCGGCGTTTGCTATTGACCGAGCCAAAGGCAAACCTTGGTTTATAACGGCAGGATTGTTGGCGTTTAATGTGCCGTACACTGGTATAGCCATGAAGCCCCGTGTTATTGAACCTATATACGACTATGAAGTCGCTGGGAAGAAGGATCCGGGAGAAATCAGGGACACTGTTGATAAATGGAATACTTTTCACAAGGTTCGCACTATCGTCGATTTGTCTGCTTTAGCCTGGTGTGTATATAATCTAGTGTACAACTGATCGACACTGTTAGTTGGTTTCACCAACGACAAGATTGAATGAAGAACTGATCACAGAATGGACTGGTCCTCCAAGTTTTGGTCAATATTAAAAGTGAATATCGCTTTGAGGTTTTTTCGTTTCCACATGTTATGCGAAGAATGAAGATGAATAACTTTTATTTGGATTAAAACACTGGCTTGATGAACATATCTGTGAATATTTTATTTAAGATTTTATTTTGGCCTTTGTATTGTATGTCTGGTGTATTGCATAATATGTACAAAGCGCCCGCACTTTTGTCTTGGGTGGGTGGGAAGGGGGTTACGGGTGCGATCAGGGTGTCATAATTTCGTGACTGTGACCTTCCTTTTCATTAAACCTTTGTGTAGAATGTTTATTTCTCTTTTTTTTATTTGGATATTTATGTAGAAGGGATTTGTGCACTTATAATCATACGAGAAAAGTAGAGGCTTTTCAAGGCAACTACCACAAAACATCTTTTTCTTTGGAATTTCGCTCTATTTCACTTGACAAAAACTTTCTCGAATGTTACAGAAGGTACGATTCTTGTTTTTGCCGTTTTCATGCAATACTGTAATGCTGACAATAAATCTCATGAATAATTTATCTGTTCCACGTTTTGTTTGCGAATTTTATTAAAAACAAGATAGTGGAATGGAGTGACACTTTATCTCTGTGAATGGGTTTTCTTGTGAGCAATACAATGCAAACAACGGTAGAAAGAATTCCACTTAGGCCTTTGGAGAAGGGTTTAAAATAGCCCATGCCTTATGTACTAAAATTCTAACCAGCCTGCATGCAGACGTCCAAAGGGAGGAGGATCGCACTTTTCTCCCTACTCCCTCCCCCTTCCCTTTTTGCGCCTGCCACGCAGGCTAAATTCTAGCATGACTCCAAGGCTTTCTGGTCATTTTTCTATACTGTAAATCCTCTATTAAGCTCCCCCTCTCAAATAAGCCCCCTCCCTCTAATAGGAGCCCTTCCTTTTCAGGGGAAGAAAGTTAATACAGCCCCCCTCTCTATTAAGCAACCCCCCTCCCCTCCCCTAATTACTCTTCACTAATAAATGATAGACTGTATTCATCAACTGATCGGGGATGGTTTATTTGCAACTGAAAATTGGGATTTGATTCTGATCCTGGCCTGCATGACCTAAAACTTCTTGCACTTGAGCTTTTCCACTTTGAATTCTAACGCATGCAATCGTCATTTCTAAATTAAGTGAGCCCCCCGTCTCTATTAAGCTCCCCCCCCCACCCCCATATGGGCTTGAAATAAATAAGCCCCTCGGGGGTTTAAAAGAGACTTGACGGTATTTGGTTTGGTCTTGTGCTCAGGTCTCTTCTGGGAATTGACAATAGGGCCGTGATAAAATTTGCAATTCTGTCCCTAAAGCCTCGGAGTTATGTTAGAATTTTAACATATCGAACACGAACAGGGGTCTTTTTTGCATGAGCATGCGCGACCGCTGACTTGTCAAAGAGCACCTGACCAGTGACAGCGACCGTGCTGCATAGTCATAGAAACCAAATTGTTTACTTTGAAAGCTTGCTTGAGATTGAAATGGTAGCAGGAACTTAGGAAAGACCTTCGTTGTACAAAATAAGTAAAGATCTGTTGATTTAAAGTGGAGACTGATGCGCTGAAAGAGGTGAAAGAGCAAGTTTCTCAAGGATGTCTGACACGAACATGGCTGCTTGTTGTCGTTTGGCGCTCGACTCGTGTCTTGATTCCCCTTTAAGAACCGCAAAGTTTGGCATAGAATGCATTGCTGATGCGTAGCTACTGAGCAAAATGTTCTTTATTTAGTGTTTGTCTATAAATTGGATGTAAATCAGTTTCTCGATACCGTAGAGGATTTCTGTCAATTATTTGTTAATAGCTGATTTAGCCATATTTCGGGAGTGGATTAATAACGATCAGCGGGCGACTACCACGCCGTTCTCAGTTGGAATAGAAAGTTTTTGCCTTAAGTATTTTAGCGATACAAAGTTTGTTTATAGGAAAATTGTAGAACTTCTCGTTTTTGCGTGGACTAACATTGTAACTCATCTTTTCGGGAATTTGCTTTTAGCCAGAACTTAAATGTTCTAATGATTTTTAACTTTTGGTCGGCATCACGTGTTTACTGCACTTCTTGGGAAACCTAACCGTTTGTTTCATCAAAATCGGTCACAAGATTGGACTTTAATTTCGGTCCTATTGAATGCAGTTTTGACTGTGTCTCATTGATATTCATTTTTTTTATTGTTCGGGACGTACAGAGTGACTACCACCAACATCTCACTAGGTGACTAATCTACGTCTCGTGTGCCCTTAATTTTGTAGCTTTAAAGTGCTGGGAAAATTGTAGAACATATATTAATTCACTGCTGAACTGAACATCGGCTTTCGCGCACTTCGAACCCACTCGCTGAAATTTGTTATGTTTTTTTTTTAATATATCTCTTCCTTGCCGACTTCAAAACAAAGAAAAATTGAAAGTGTTTGCTTGCATCAACAAACGTTTCTGCACTTTGTTTAGACTTTGATGAGGTCAGCGCAATCCTCCAGGCACTACATATACGCGCGCTGTTGTCCAGGTCAAGTGGGGAGATGAAATTTGATAGTAGCTCGTGTATGTTAAAGCCGGTCTACTTCGCTTTTGTTAAAACCATGTTAGAGTTTTTTGGCAAACTACACATTTTGTTAAATCACGAGCACATTCGCACAGACCAACGAGCAAAATAATCGCTATGATAGCTTTGAGACGCGCCATTTTGATGAAGGCAAACCCTGTGGTGAGCCTCCATGCACATCGCTTGTTCAGCGGTCGCGCATGCTCATGCAAAAAAGACCCCTGTTTCGAACACGGACAGGAGCCTGACGTGGGCTATTTCTACAAAAAACTATATCCTGCCAGTTGTGAGGTAACGCGTGACTAGCCTAACCGATCTCGCAAGCTATCGCGTGACCTCTTGTCTCGAGCCCATGCGAGTGTGCGCAACATTTATTTGCGCAGCTTGCTTGAAGCAGCCTGGGTGTGCCTAAACTGTTTGCGTGCCTATACTATCCCAGCGAGAAATATCAACAAAATATTCTTCTGTTCAGGATGGGTTTAGACGCCGACGACTTATTCTCGTGTCTGGAAGTTCTCTCCACTGTGGCTGCAGGTATTTTTTCTGGCAGTGCGATCTATGTCAATGTTGTGGAACATCCGGCTCGTATGACCCTGACGGACACGAAATCATGCCATCGACAATGGATGGAGAGTTTCGATCGAGCCAAAGTCTTGCAGAGCTGCTTGGCGTTAGTCTCCACTGTTTCCGGAGTTGGGGCATACTACTGCAATCCGAAGAAGGGACTGCCTTTTCTTATCGGCGGAGGGATAGTGGCGTTAGTTTTTCCTTACACGCTTTTCATCCTCAAGCCAAATTCCATTGACCCCATCTACGATAAAGATATCACCTCTAAGAAGAGTGAAAGTGTTATACGGGATACCATTGTCAAGTGGAATAACTATCACATGGTTAGAAGCTTCATCGGCATGCCCGTTTTTGTGGGATACGTCGTTTATATGGCCAGCAACCACAAGAAGTTTTGGTGAAGAAACTATTGGTGACAGTTCTTTAACCCTCTCTTTCGTTTAAGCTTATAGCTGAAGAAGATAGTTCATATGCACCAACGTCAACAACATGGATGACCTTGTACCGTATAATCGTTCAGGTTCTCTAACAAATCTCTTATTTCCTCTTCTTAGCCCACTGAGGGCTTATTAAGTGAGCGTTTATGTGACCTTTTTAAAGTACCTATTGTTTAAGACCTTGATCTTCAAAGAGCTCTGACACATGTAAGTAAGGTGAACTTTCTTATCGTTCTGTAAAAAACTTAACCTTTTAATACACGGTGCTATTATCTATTCCTATACACTATAACAGTGGATTGGCATCAGGGTTTATTATATTTATACCTAGCGGGTATCCACTGAAATAAAAACTATAGTGTACTTCACAGATGTATCATTAAATTATATTCATGGAAATCACTTAACAGACTCAATCTTCCTCTAGCATTATGACAGCCTTCAGTCTTTTTTTGGTTTTTTCTCTAAGTGGAAAATGCCCTTATTGACTTGTCACAGACTGCCAGATTCTACCCACAAACCCAGGGGGGTACTTTAGGACTTTTTGGGTGGGGATGTGCCACTGGGACCCTTGAACCCTTAGCCTATACCAGAGCTACAGATCAAGTGAATTTTGCTACCCTACACTAAACCAAACTCCCCAAATCCCCCCCTATCCTAGAGTAGCTGTTTTCCAGAAACAACAGAGGTCACTAGCACAGTCCAGCCAAAACAAAACCGATTTGATTTTTTTTATATTCTTGAGTGGCAATTCTGGGTTTCCCTAGTCTAGACTAAAATCTTCAACCAATGGATCAGTTTAAATGGAAAGTGATACCCTCTTCTAGACCCAAACTCTCTGAGTTATATACCCTATCCCAGAGTAAACTACTTGAAAACCATACCCTTCACAGCTGCACATACCTTTATCCTATATAGCCCATATATAGCAGTACCCACCACCCCAGCCACAAACTACATTTTTGATTCTTGACAAATTATAAAAGAGAAAATTGACGTGATCAGTAGTCCCTTGAGGCCATATTCCACTTATCACAAGTATTACTACAGACCAAATAGGACATGATGCAACATTCTGTAACCAATTAATCATCACTATAACAAAACTTGGTGATATCTCAACCTTTTTTATAAATAAAACACCCAAGAGCTTTTAGCTAGAAGTAAAAAAAAGACTATATTACTACTAATGCTGGAAATCGTAACTGACTCTTTGTTCATCCTTTCAGAAAAATAGTTCCAGGTAAATTTTATAACAAAAAAAAAGTTTTGATGGCTATTTGATAAGCACCACCCCAAATGTTAGTGCTGGTCAGGTGTGTACTATTCACAGCAAGAAAAAGAATATTATGGTATCATCAAACATGATAACCTTTGTTTTACAATTACACAAATTATGGCTGTGAGAAAGAAGAAAGAAACAGAGATGGATAACTTCTTAGCCCCCTGTTTACACGAAGAGGGTCACCCTGCCAGCCAAGTCAACCTAGCAAGCTTTTGTATAAGAAAAACTTTGAACCCCTTGGTACAAGCCAACAGTGCTCAAGCATGCTCTGATTGAAGTTATCTAGCTGGGCAAGCCTAAGTGTTTATATGGAGAAAAGTTGGCCCATCTAGGAGGGTGATCTGGCTATGTGAGTCACCCTTCTCACCAAGCCAACTTTTTGTTTCTCATGAAAAGTGTTGCCACCTTTCATCACGGTCGGCCAGGGTTTTTGGGTATACAGTATATTGGGGTATTTAATTTCAGATAAATAGTTTTTTATGCTTTAAATTGGGTATAAAGTATTCACTCATGCACGGCTAATTTTGGGTATAAAGTATACCATGGTTTTCTTAATTTTGGTCTTTTACATGAGTTTAGTATAATAATTGTTGGACTCTACTACCCTCAACCCCCCCTGGTCAACCCTGTTTCTTAAGGAAATTTATGAAAAGTTGGTTTGCCCAGAGTAACTCGGGTGAGTGGGTGACGCCTCTACCTTGGAAAACTTTTCTTCATATAAACAGGGCCTCACCTACTGAAAAGATTGCCTTTATTCAAAGAACTTAAATTGAGCAAAATCAATATTCATAGATTTTATTTGATTTTTCTTTATTTCACACAAGGATATCAAAATATACTTCTAGTTTTATGAAGTTCCTCCTTCACCTCTGCTGATCCTGCCTTTTAGTTTTTAAAACTGATTCCTAATGAATGTCAAAGATACTGGTGTCTATAATCTGGTTTATTTGTTTGGTGACTCAGCCAGGTGGCCATGACATCTGTCGTCCACCAAGAATGTGGATATGAAGATGATAAACTGACTGGGCAGCATCCCGTCCGTTATTGATGACTGAAAGCAAACAGAAAAAGCCGGTCAGATCCTGGGTGGGGCGGGGGTAACAGGGCACTGTCATCATGTTTTTCCAAACCCCACTTGGAATTTTCAGTTTATTCTTGTGATAAACTCTTTAAGCACTAATATCCACATACAAATTCTCCAGACTGGTCCCCATACATTTCCTTAAGGAATAAGTTGAGAGAATATGATGAAAGATTTAGCACCTTTTTAGTGGTGATCATTGTATTAATTCTCATAACTTTTTCTTTTGAATTGATGTATGGATATTGTTAGGAGAGCATTGTCTTGATGTTGGTTTCTCTTGAGACCTAAAGGGACACAGTCAGCTGATGCACATGTTCAAAAGATACCACTTCTTAGCTGATTTGAATATCCCAAAATGCGTGTGAACAGAAAGTGAGAAGCGCATCTGGAACACCTAAACCAGTGTTGTGGAGTTAGGCAAATATTGCAAGTCACAATCATGATTATAGACCCTACGTCATATCAGAGCACTCAATTTTTATGTACTATTTGGAATTCACCAATGAACTTGTTCAGAGAAAGCCAAACGTTGACAAATACTTCCGTTCGAAGAATCATTAGAGGTGAGAAATGAAACATTGTCTGAATCATTGTCAAAGGTTCAAGGTCAAGAAAGGTTGATATACCAAATATATATAACCTTTCTTCATTGATTTTCCATTATGTACATGTATAACCATGATTTGCTCTCAAATGTTATTGATTCATTTCTCTTGTTATTTTGGTCAACGAAGGCAAATTATTTCCCCTGCTGGGCGCCTACACGTTTCCCACCTCTTCTTTTCATGTTCCTTTCAATACTGTGTTTAACAAAATATGATTTAAAAAAATGTTATAGGATGAGTAAAAGTTTGTTCAAAAAGGGGTTTTCAGTAAAAGATCGAGGATCAGATGAAACACTAGGCAAGATTGAAGCAAATTTTTACATGTATCTGGTGTATACATTTGATTTTGGGTTGAGGTAAATGCTTTCAAACTGGTAAAAGCAGTGTCCAGGTTAGATCAGTCCCATAGCTGACTGTGTCCCTTTTAAGGGTTAATTAAAAGAGTTAGTGATTACCTACCTAGCCTGTATCCACTTTCATTCAGATTTTCTTTCTCTGCAACTTTCTTTGCCACCCACATCAAATGACCTAGAAGCTGAAAGGGAATAAAAGTGGGTACAATAAAGGATCAAGTAGCCATGCCGATACTTCTTTTTACAAACAAGGATAGAGATCATACAAAAAAAGCCATTTGCTGTACTCAGCATTTAGCTAATGAAAACCAGTTGGCCTTTACAAATGGAATGCCTCTGTCCAACTAAGAATGCACTAAATAATGTGTACTTGTTATAACAATCTCCATAAAATAATTCTGACAAACACTTAAGTTAATAGCATCAGCATCATTTTGCTTTTTTAGTCAGGTGCAACACCTACATTGTGTATATTTTGGTGTGTTAGTGTAGTGACATATGCCTTTTTTTAGAATAGCCCAAACTGCAATCCTAGCTGGTAAAGAACCCAATAAACTACAAGGTACATGTACATTGATTATTTATACTCCTACATGTACATTGTGTAAAGCTAATAAGTTAACAGCTGCAAGAGAAGGATATACATACAGGAATGTCTTCTTCAGTGCTTGATGATAGCTGCATCAGTGGTTTGCGAGGTATTACCAGAATGTGTTTGGGTGCAACAGGATTGACATCCCGAAAAGCAACAGCCTGTCAGTCAAAAACTGACTCATTAGTATTATCTAAGAGGAAATAAGGCAATGAAAATCTCATACTAAGTAACACATTTGAGAAAACCTACTGAAAGTTTAAAAGTTATATTTACCAAAGGGAAAATTGCCACATGCAAAATGGCTATAAAGTACGTACTCCATCTCAAAGACAATTAAATAGGTCATTTGCACGTCATGGCGTCATTTTCCTACTACAACCAGAATTCTTTTCGTTTTTCCTTTCACATTTAAATTTGGTCATCCCAGTGAGGTTTAAATAACAAAAGCCCTAATTTGTACAAGAAAGCAAAAACATGAAGGATTCTGGTCGTAGTAGTAAAATCACGCCATCATGCAAATGGCCTTGTCTCATACAGTTTAAATAATGTGATTTGAAAAAGGTTCGATCACGAACGCAACAAAAAATTTTTCACTAACAAGCAGGACTTTCACAATTTTACACTGGTATTAATTTTTTTCAGTGAATGGAAAAATCTCATCTTAAGAACACATTCACACCTCAAATGCTGGTAACCACTCATGCAGAACCTGGTACAACTTCTCACATCATCAAGTTTAAGAGTTATACAAAAATTATTGCACAGGGGAAAAAGACCACAGCCAACATATGCCAGAGAAAAATGCAAAAAAATGTAACTTTGACAGGAAAAATCGAATGAAACTCATGTTTCAGTATATATGTACATTTCATTGAAAACAATTTCATGATCCAGCCTGGGCGGCTTTGCAACCACTTTTCCCCATGAAATGAAGCCTAGTTATTACACCTCCCCCCCAATGGACAATGAAAAAGGCAGGGATGAGAGAAAGTCAGAAAAATAAAATATTAAGGTTGCTCAATAGGGTTTTTCAGGGTCAATACCTCCCAAGTTTATACATAAACTACCTGGCTATTAACAAAGATTTGGCAAAATTACTACCACAGCTGTATTAGAAAGAGCATTTCTGATAGGAACGTTTCTTACGTGCTTCATAACTGGCCCAATTCTTATGAGTGCATGATGGTTGGATGCAAGCATGTCGAAAGTTGGCAAAGAGCTTTGACAGCAGTGAAAGAGCAGTCTGGGCTTGAAAGCCTTAGTCTTTCTGAACAGGAAAATACTTTGAGAGAATATTCCTTGAAGGCCAAAATGTGTTTGTTAAGTTGCCGACTGGTTACCGACAGTCCTTGATTTTCCATTGTCTTCTAATCATTGCAGATGCACTGCCCATTATAAACTGTTCTTAAAAGCTAAAACAAAAGGAATTACCAACAGAGAAACTAAAGAACATCACACTCCAGTCCAAAGACTCACTTATCTCAAGAAAAACAAGATGGGCCAAATTAGACAGTTTCAACCCTTCTTTGTGTCGTTTGTCATCATTTCATTTGCCTTATGTCAAAGCCATGGCACTTGTTAGAATTCCTTTACAGTGCCTCTCTGTTGTTCAAGCTAACTGTAAGGTCATATTTCACACTACCATAAACTATAAATCACGTTTGGCTTGTCAACACTTTTTTCAAATCAGACCAATCACAAACTGCAAAAGAGACAAGCCAATCAAAAACATCAACATATAACACGATGATGTGCACTAATTCACAAATACTCTGTACAGGCGGTTTAGAGTATCTGCAATGCAGGCTAAAAAACAGTAATAAAATACTCCATTTAGTGTCTCAGGACGGATTCAACAAGACCTCAGTTATATAGTTGATATCTCATTATTCTTCATGTTTATTGCCCAGTTATATCACGACAGCAGTTCGTTTGCCTGGGGCCACTTCTTGCATGGCTTTGTTAATGATTTAATTAGTTGCCTGGATCCTTGCTCACTGGGCAAATAAGCTTTAAAAGTCACTTTTCCCACAAGAAAATCTACTTGTCCAAAACTTTGGATGGACTTTTTTCGAGCCCTGGACAGAAATTCCCTTTTGCTTTAATCAACTTTATTCAAGGAATGGGAATTCAGGATGGGATTTTATGCGGATTCTATTTTTCGTCTGGGGAATTTTTCAGTTTTGTCAGTATCCCTGGGGATTTTGTTGTTTTGACTTTCGCCTCCATTTAGTAATCCTGCCCCTTGAAATACGGAGTACCCCCCACCGCCCCCCCACCCCCCCGACCCCGAAGCTTCTGAGTCTTTAAGACCACAAATGTTAAAACGACCATTACAAAGTAGGAGAACAAACCTTGTCGTCTTCGTACACTATATCAGCAGGGATTTCTTTCCGAATGATCTTCATGAATATCGAGTCCTCAGGCTTGTACTTCTCCGCAGCCTCAGCAGCAAGTTTGGCCTTCTCCACTTCATCGTTGCACTTTCCACCATCTGTGCAGAGTTCAGCCATTGTAACTCTTGGAGTAACGGTTAAAGCTGCGGCTGCAGTTAGAAGCAGTTTGCTGGCAAAAGATCTGCTTCTACGAAGCACGCAAAGCGTCATCTCTCGTGTGTCTTCTCGTTATCAGATGTAATGGCTGTTCGAGATTCCTGGTCAGCGGACTCGCCCAAAGAGTGGTAGATACTTCATATATGATTCCTATAGTGTACCCATATATAGATTCTTTTGTAAAACACCGGAAGATGGATAGCTTATAAGCAACGACGTTTTTGAGCGACGCACGTAAACCGGAAGTGAACCTTATTCTCTTTTAATATGCCTTGACGCTTCCAAATTTGTATTGCTAAGAGTCTTTTCTGTTATAGAGACGATTTGGCCAAAAATTTGTTCAAAATCATCGCTCGAGAGTGCAAAAAGTCCACTTCCGGTTGACGCGAGTCCCTCAAAATGGTCGCTGGTTTTCAAAGCATCAATCAACAATCGTTGTTCCAAAAAAATGGGAAATACTGTGCAATGCACCATCCACGGAGAACCCTTGGAAGCTGTCGATCACCACAAATTCCTTGGAGTTGAGCTATCTAGTGATCTAAATTGCTAGGATTATGGCAAAAGGCCAACAGATCCCTTGGCGTTATAAGAAAAAAATTAATAAAGTAAGGGTCCAGAAAACGAAAACGTAAAAGAGCAAGCCTATCTTACTTTTAATAGTTAGACCACAACTTGAATACATGAATGTTGCGCATGGGATCCGCACATTCAAAAACAAATAAAGGACATTGAGAGTGCGCAGAGACGATCGGCACGTTTTTTAAAAAATGAATATAGTACAACTCCTGGAACTATTACGAAAATTTTGAATGATTTGAAATGGCCAATACTCGGGAAGTTTCTTAATGTTTATCATTTGCGTGTAGTTCTGATCGCAATCCGTTACGCTAAAAAAGGAACAAATATGTAAATCATTGTACTTCACAGGTGTTTTCAATACATTGGATTCTCATCATTTTTCTACGACAACCAAAGTAGAATAATGAGTCATCTATATTCACCCATGCGCAAATAACCCCAAAATGATTTTTGAAATTTCCTAACGACGTCGTAGTTTCGATCATGGATCGCTTAAATTTAACGATACCTGATGAAAGTTAATGCTGCTAAAACTGTTCGCTCTATCGCAAGGTGCATGGTATAACATTAGAACTGTACCAACAACACAGTGAAGAAATTCAACTCGCGAATCAATATGGAACTGATTTGAAAGTGTAAGTGCTACAGCTATAGCTATATCTCTTGCCTTTCTCTTGTCTGAACGAATTCCCCAAGAGCTGCCAAGTGCACACTATTTGGACTGTGAACTTCTTTCTCAACTGAAACCTTTCAGAGTGTTTTATTTTAATCGACAGTTGTTTGTTTTTCCTTTTTCTTTTCCCTCAGTTTTGAAAACTAAAATTCAGTGCATGGTTGAGTGATGAGGCATTGAACGTAACGAAGAGAGTTATCAGCTTATGGTAGAAAAACAGCAAGAGATTTGTAGAGGTAACTATCCAAGCAAAAAGTCACCTTAACCAGGACAATCATAAGCTGACAGAAGGAAAAAAATGGTTTTAATATGGTGATAGAAAACTTGTCAGTTTTTTTGTAGGATACCTGAGGTTACTACAACTTAGTTATGTTAGACCCGGTAACGAGTTGAAGTATCATGATTGACTTTCTCTGGACAATATTTGCTCCTGAGCCATTTTCCATTAGGCAATATACTAATTAGTTTTACGAGCATTATATATCCCAATGAGCAAATAGACTGCTTTATAAAGTTGTTATTACCTATATATTAACATCAATGTTTTTTTTAAAAGTTAAACACATAAGAGCAAAATGGGGCATGGGTGTTTGAGAATAAAAAGCAGAAATAATTTTGCGACAAGTTCCCTTCTTATATTAGTCTGCAACCATGTTTGCTAAAATGAAAATAATTTCCTTTTCGTTTACTGACGAGAGTCGTCCAAATTTGTATTTACCTTTGTACTGTTTGGTTCAGTGTGATGCCTTCAAATCAATTCTTTCCTTTTCAAAGTGTATGTCTCGGCCAAACGAAGCATTTAGAGGGCACCCAGGCCCGCGGACAAAATTTTTAAGATACTTGGATTTTTTCCCGGGGAATATACCCTTAAATACACTTTAAGCCACATAGGTATGTGCCACCCCAAAGGATATGGTTTTTGCGCTTTTTCTGTCTAAAAACTGGTATACACTTTGCTCATTTTGGTTTGGAATTGGCTATGGTTTTCGAGGGAAAAAACGTCGCGTAAGAATGATTTGTCGTTTCAATTCCAAATTAATGAATAAGAAAGAAAAAGAAATATTTGCGAATTCTATGACATAATTTCTGCCTGGAGGCCAGGATTGAAAAAGGGCGTGGAAAATGACAATTTTTTTTGGTTTGAAATAAGGCCAGGAGTTAAAGAACTGGGCGGCTCACCCCCACCAAGAATTCCCAGCAGCACCCCCCCCCCCCCCCCCCCCCCCCCTCCAACGAGATTTTCTTCAAGTAGTAAGTAATGCAAAAAACGGTCACGGTTTAAGTACTAGGGCTACGGGAAAAACGTGCGGACCGAAAACGAAATGATTTTAAAAGGCAAGTGCCTGTAACAACACCTCCGGCTCCCCTTAGCAGTAACACCAACTTTCTCTTTCCTTGCAACACGGCTTGTGTTAGGTAATCACTGATTTCAAAAACCTATTACGAAAAAATTTTGGCTTCCAGATAAAGAGTATTTCAAACAAATCGTATCCGACTTCTTCTTTAAAGAGTTCTTTGTTATGCTTTAACTATCTTTTTTTTTCTTGTTCACTCATGTAGGCGAACAATCTAACAGAAGTACAGTCATTAATTGTTAAGTGCGGACCCAACTAAACCGGACGATTTCTAAAACGGTAAGTACTTGTAACAACCCCGATCCCGATCTTTTGTAGTGACTTTATGAACTGACTACTCAGGATCTTGCCGTTAAAGTTCAGACTACAGACTTGGCAAAATGGCTCATTTGGTAACTCCTTTTTTCTTTACTTTTTACGCAGTCATCCAGGCGAACTCGAAATCAGTCAAAATTGCTGAAAATACCTTTTTGGAGGCAAAAAGACAGAACATTAGATAAGGTAGTACACTGTTTATTTAACATTAATCCGATATATTGCTATTCGAAGCAAACTCATGATTGTGTGGGTAGCCTGTGGTATAAACCACGAAGGAATCCTCGTCCCAGGGTCTACTGATGTTCCGGCCAATATGGCGGCGTGGGGCTGTTGATGATCCAAGGGCGGTTTGAGATATGGAAACTAGCGTTTACTCGGGGCTGTTAGTTTGGAGCAGTGCAAACCTAATTTAAGCTTGATAGTAGCTACAAAAATTTCAAGAAAGGGCTCTGCACTATAAAAACCAAAATACCAAAGAAGTCGATAGAATTAGAAGGTCAGGACAGACATAAAGGTATTACATATTTACAGGGCACCCAACGACTATGGAGTAGATGGCTAGGATGTAAAAGTAGGCGGTGATTTCGCACCTTCCTGTAGTTCCCCAAAAAGTAGGCGGCTCAAAACTCGAAGAAGCTAGTTTTTTTTCCGGCTGCCGGCACTTAATGAGAATAATGCATTCTAAGCGAGTCTATAACATTTGTATCTGTTCGGTCATCCAAGGGGAACTTGAGGCTTTTCGAAATTACAAGGGCTTCAGTTTTATTTTCCTGAAAGTATGAGGCCGTAAGTTAATTAAGTTCATTTCTTTATCACCTAGAGATATGTCAAGAGATCAGAGGCACAATTTAAAAGATTTGACCAACAAAAAACAAGAAAGGTAAGTACAATATTAAAATTATTTTATTTTATTTATATAGATTAAGCAGTCTAGCAACACAGTGTAGAAGATACCAGAATTCATGCTCAAAACAAACTATACTCTGTAAAATTCAAACTGCATGATAAATGGCATGAGACATAATGCTGCCCCTCTCAAACATGCAAAGGAATACACCAGTTTTGAACCTGTGAGAGCAACAACTAGGATGCAAGGGCATTATGTTTGATGCCCTATGATATATTCTAACTTTTACATAAAAACTTTGATTAAACAATATATACTTAGGTCAACTGGGATTCCAACCCAGCAAAGAAATGGGATACAGATTCTCCCTGAACTATTACATCCAAAGTCTGATATTTATATGAGGAAATATACACCAGCTCAACTGTTATTCATACTCAGCAAAGAAATGGGAGGCAGTAGCTTTCTGAACAATTGAATACAAACTTTAATATATTAGTTTTATGAGCATTATCCCAATAAGCAAATAGACTAAAATGAGACATGGGTGTTAGAGGATAAAAAGTAGAAATTGTATTGTGACAAATTCTCTTCTTAGCCTGCATTCACTTACTAAAATGAAAATTATTCCCTTTTTCACTTACTGACAAGAGTAGTACAAATTTTTATTTACATGCCTTTGAACTGTCTCAGTGTCTCAACCAAAAAAAGCATTTTGAGGGCACCCAGGCCCATGGGCAGAATTTTTAAGATACATGGATTTTCTCCCAGGGAGTGCTCCCCCTTATATAAGCCAGCTAGGTAGGTGCCACCCCAAAGGGTATGGTTTTTACACCTTTTTGTTCTAAAAATGGCCAGGACTTGGAGAACCGGGGGCACACCCCTAGGTAATCACTGATTTCAAAAACCTATCACAATAAAATTTTGACCACCAGATAAAGAGTATTTCATCAAATAATGTCTGACTTCATCATTTTGTTATGCTTTAACTAATTTTTTTTTTGTCTTCTTCACTCATATAGGTAACAATCAAATAACAATCTAACAGAAGTACAGTCATTAATAATTGTTCAACTAAACCAGGATATTCTTAAAATGGTAAGAGCTCAGAGCTTGTAACAACCCCAGTCCCGATCTTTATTTAGTTACTTAATAAATTATGGCTCCTAAGGATCTTCCTTGAAGTATTAGAATACATGAAAATTCTGTGATTTATAAAAAGCAATTAACATCTATAAGGTCAAGTAAGATTCCAACTCAGCGAAAATGGGAGACAGATGCTCCCTAAACTATGACATAATACGTAATATTTATATAAAGTTAATAAACTCTGCCCATTGGCAGTGGTTTTCCATAAAGGTTCTATACCAGATACCACTCTGAGAACACACAGAAAGTAATGCTACTCCCTGGACTGATACCTTAGTCTATGATACATGGGACTTACTGTTTTTAACTAACTATTTTAAAAACACTAGATAACCTGGGATTTCCAACCCATCAAGCAAGGGAGACAGGGAGCTCCCTGGACTGAAACTTCAGTTTATTACTTACTATTAACACTAGATAAACTGGGATTCCAACCCAGCAACCAAGCGAGACAGGAGCTCCCTGCACTGAATATTCGGTCTATCATAGTTATTACTCACTATTAATTAAAATTAGATAATCTGGGATTCCAACCCAGAAAGCAAGGGAGACAGGGGCTCCCTGGACTGAATCTTCAGTCTATCATAGTTATTACCTACTCTTAAAACTAGATAAACTGGGATTCCAACCCAGCAAGCAAGGAAGACAGGACCTCCCTGGACTCAAACTTCAGTCTATCATAGTTATTACTTACTATTAAACCTAGATAAACTGGGATTCCAACCCAGAAAGCAAGAAAGACAGAGCTCCCTGGACTGAAACTCCAGTCTATCATAGTTATTACTTACTATTAAAACTAGATAAACTGGGATTCCAACCCAGTAAGCAAGGGAGATAGGAGCTCCCTGGACTGATACTTCAGTCAATAAGAGATGAAACTTCCTATTAAGCCTAGATAAACTGGGATTCCAACCCAGCAAACAAGGGAGACAGGAGCTCCCTGCACTGATACTTCAGTCAATAATAGATGAAACTTACTATTAAACCTAGATAAACTGGGATTCCAACCCAGCAAGCAAGGAAGACAGGAGCTCCCTGGACTGATACTTCAGTCAATAATAGATGAAACTTACTATTAAAACTAGATAAACTGGGATTCCAACCCAGCAAGCAAGGGAGACAGGAGCTCCCTGGACTGATACTTCAGTCAATAATAGATGAAACTTACTATTAAAACTAGATAAACTGGGATTCCAACCCAGCAAGCAAGGGAGACAGGAGCTCCCTGGACTGATACTTCAGTCAATAATAGATGAAACTTACTATTAAAACTAGATAAACTGGGATTCCAACCCAGCAAGCAAGGGAGACAGGAGCTCCCTGGACTGATACTTCAGTCAATAATAGATGAAACTTACTATTAAAACTAGATAAACTGGGATTCCAACCCAGCAAGCAAGGGAGACAGGAGCTCCCTGGACTGATACTTCAGTCAATAATAGATGAAACTTACTATTAAAACTAGATAAACTGGGATTCCAACCCAGCAAGCAAGGGAGACAGGAGCTCCCTGGACTGATACTTCAGTCAATAATAGATGAAACTTACTATTAAAACTAGATAAACTGGGATTCCAACCCTGCAAGCAAGGGAGACAGGGGCTCCCTGGACTGATACTTCAGTCAATGAGAGATGAAACTTACTGTTAAAAGAAAGCATTTACTGGGATTCCAATGCAGCAAGCTAGATAAGTAATACCTGGAGTGATACTAGAGTCTATTATGCATGTAGTTGAACCTTTAATACCCTAATTCTAGAACTAAATGAGGTGCATTACATCTTAGCTTTAATTATTATTTATAGTATTATACTGTTCGAGCAGCAGCAATTCTTTCAATAAATTTAATAGCAGCCATAAGTAGAAAAAGGGAATTCCAAAAACAAAGTTGGCCTATTGTTGCCAATACAGTGGCCTCAAGCCAGGTGGAGGGTTTCGTGCGTTCCACAGGGTGCTTGTCTACTTATGCGGTGAGAGTGGTACTGAGCCATCAGTTACACCGAGGTCTGGGTGGTCGCCTCTGACCGACAGGTGATGTATTGGGCGCCTGATAAGAAAACGGCCGTTGCACTCAAGTGCTTATCAACTCATTCTGCAGTGGTGCAGAGCTTTACGAGTGATACTGCACGGGCCGTAGCGGTGTACCGCTCATCGGGTCATGCCATATCTCAGCTTCTGTCACGAAACAAGTCTGTTGTAAGCGCTCATGCCCAGGTGTCCCGGTATGGACGCAAGCGGAGGTCCCCCAATTTATATGGCCGTTGCACTCACGTGCGTCTCGGATACTGCACAGGCCATACACCCTTTTCTTTAGGTCATGCCATATCTCAGCTTTTCTAACGAAACGGGTTTTTTGAAGCCTTTAATTTTTTTTTTTTGTCGTTGTTTAAATAAAAAAATCTCAGTTATTTTAGGTATTATTTCAGATATTCTTGGAAAGAGTTGTTGCTCTAAGAAGATTATCACTGATTTTCAAAGTCATATGCACTTAGGGCAACTGGGATTCCAACCCAGCAAGCAAGGGAGACAGGAGCTCCCGGACTGATACTTCAGTCAATAATAGATAAAACTTACTTTTAAAAAGTAGATAAACTGGGATTCCAACCCAGCAAGCAAGGGAGACAGCAGCTCCCTGGACTTATACTTCAGTCAATAATAGATGAAACATACTATTAAAAGTAGATAAACTGGGATTCCAACCCAGCAAGCAAGGGAGACGGGAGCTCCCTGGACTTATATTTCAGTCAATAATAGATGAAACTTAGTATTAAAACTAGATAAACTGGGATTCCAACTCAGCAAGCAAGGGAGACAGGAGCTCCCTGGACTGATACTTCAGTCAATAATAGATGAAACTTACTATTAAAACATGATAAACTGGGATTCCAACCCAGCAAGCAAGGGAGACCAGGAGCTTTCGGACAGACACTTCAGTCAATAATAGATAAAACTTACTTTTAAAAGTAGATAAACTGGGATTCCAACCCCGCAAGCAAGGGAGACAAGAGCTCCCAGACTGATACTTCAGTCAATAATAGATGAAAGTTAGTATTAAAACTAGATAAACTGGGATTTTAACCCAGCAAGCAAGGGATACAGGAGCTCCCGGACTGATACTTTAGTCAATAATAGATGAAACTTAGTATTAAAACTAGATAAACTGGGATTCCAACCCAGCAAACAAGTGAGACAGGAGCTCCCAGACTGACACTTCAGTCAATAATAGATGAAACTTACCATTTAAACTAGATAAACTGGGATTCCAACCCAGCAAGTAAGGGAGACAGGAGCTTCCGGACTGATACTTCAGTCAATAATAGATGAAAGTTACTATTAAAACTAGATAAACTGGGATTCCAACCCAGCAAGCAAGGGAGACAGGAGCTCGCTTGACTGATACTTCAGTCAATAATAGATGAAACTTCCTATTAAAACTATAAATAGATAATAACTGTAATGATTCAAATTGTATATTTCACTTAGTAAACATAGATTTGAACCTTAAAATTATTTAAGTGCTTGACTCTCCACTGTTATATCTTTGCAGGTTATAACAAGGCTTTTGCTGGATGCTTTATATATATCTAAGTGGAGACGTCGGAAATGAATTTATTGTATTTATAGTGTAACTTTACGATTTTTCGCAGTTGTTGTTACAGGGAAAATGCTGTTTGAGGGTTGAGTGAGGGTGGACTTGTCTTTATTGATATGAAAAATATCTGCCGATGGTCAGATATTTTTACTGGGCGATAAACTTCATTTCTTATCTATATCCCTTATCGTTGCAAATCAAAATAGGTTGTATTAGTTCAATTTAAGTCTGTTGGTAACATCCTCTAAGCGCTTGTTTCTTTTTCTTTAGCTTTTTTATTTTCTAGATTNACCCAGCAAGCAAGGGAGACAGCAGCTCCCTGGACTTATACTTCAGTCAATAATAGATGAAACATACTATT